CTAATATCTTTGTTCTGCTCTGGACAAAAAAATTCATCACCTTTTATCTATAGAAAGCCTTTCACGTGTCTTTTTGACTTTGTCCACACTGTGAGGTGAGATTTGGTGACTTATTCATACCTCAGGTAGTTCATGCATTTCAAAAATGGCGCTATATGCTGCCCTGGACTGAAGAAAATATTATGCTGACATAATGGCGAGTGTAATGAGCTGAGGTCTTACAGGATAGTCCTTGGGTAAAACGCGTGCTGCTGAGTGGACTGGCGTCTGGTGTTTGGCTCCAGGTTTGGCCTTCTGTGCTTGTTGTGCCTGGGAAGAGACTTTCTCCAGCTGAGCTTGTGCCGCCTGCAGCAGCTTCTCCATGGTGCCCCACAGGGCGTTGGGTTTAGACAGGTCCAGAACAAGGATGACGGAGAGAGACCTGGAGAGAAGACATGAAGGACCATGTGCTCTTGCAGGATATGTAACAGAAGGTGTCGGTGAAGGTGAAAACATCCTTTACTGGCATGACGCTGATGTGCAAACCATATAATATTCACATTCAGAACATGTCAAACACTGCTCCTTGCTTCAAGGCAGTCAACTTCCAAAGAGACAAGAGTGACCTGTGTGTGTAAGTGACCTACCTAATGCTGACAGGAGTGATGGGGATCTGGACCAAGTCTGACAGTGAGGTCCCTCCTCCCAGCTCCCACAGGTGGGCTATGTCTTTGGGCTGAAAGAGGACACACATTCTACATTTCAGCAGCAGCATTCTGCAACGTATTTACTGGAGTAACAGAAAACCCACAGGCTTTCACAGTGAGCCTGGTGCATTGTGCACCTTGTACGGGAAGTTGTGGTGAGTGAATTCAGTCTTTTGTAGCTCTTTGCAAATGTTAACTTCTCACACAGCTCCTCCTTATCAATCTAAATAAAAAATACATGGTTTGACAAAGATCACAGCTTATAAGGCTCATCATCAGTTTGTCTTTATCCCATTTTTTCAAAGTATCCAACACAAACAGGGTGTCCTTACTGTGTTATGTCCTCGAGCCCGTCTGCCAAAAGTGTACTCCAGTGCCAAGGTTGGCTTGGATGGCTCGTCCCTGATGGATCAAAAAACAGTGTTAGGATCATCCTTTGCAACTGGAAAAGTCAAGTTAGACCTGAATACAGAGAATGGGTTAAGTTAATAACAGAGAATGCATCATTTGAGTTAATGATGCCAATCTGCATAACCGTAGAGAAGCATTTTTATTTGTCTGGAATCAGTTTTTGTCTTTTATAAAAGGACTAAACACGTCATAGGAGATAGACGCTGTGCTGAAATGAACTATAACTGTAAGATACAGATGGAGGGAGCTGGCTTTTGTTTCTGTTGCTTTAACTGTGTCATAGAGATCTTTTTGTTTGCTTGTCTCCAGGCTTCATGTGTAGAATAACTGGCTTCTGGTGCTTTCAGCCTAATCTTGCTGTGTTTTTTATCAAATGGAGTTTGCTCAGGTGTCAATTTGTGACATGTCATCACCTGTGAGAAGCAGCTGCAAGCTTTGATTATAAATTAAACATCTGTTCCTAACGGCTGAGGATGAACACCCATGCTCAAAGCAATATTTTGGCGTATTATATTGTGTTTTAGGTGACCTGCCTCTTCATCATTAATCTGCCTACAGATCTGCTTTATCAATGAGTCTAGGTTTGATCATTTTAAGGTGAGAGTTGATTACCTAGACCCCACACAGACTCACCTGTCGAGACATCTGAGAAGAATGGACGTTTTACCCTGAAAAAAGCAAAGGTGAGCTACGACATTATGTAGCATTGTGCAAGTAATATCAAGACAAGAGCACTGGAAATCAATACATGTAGCTGTCGTGAGGTCTGACACGACGGTAAACACACCCCAGCCTTGCTGCCCATCAGAAACACGGTCCTCTCGCTGACCGTCTCTCCTCTGTCCTCCTCCCCACCATCAGTCTCCCGACTGTGCACCTCCGCAGCAGCCTGCTCCCATAGCGTGTCGGAGCTAACAAACACAAGACAAAAGCGACATTTTGTTCTTGAAAGACGTGCCGCCATTTCTTAAAAAAAAACGTTACAAAAATATTAAAATCTGTTCTCACCTTATTTTGGGCATCAAATTTGAAGTTTGACAAAGTTTGACAGCTTGAGAAGGTAGCTAGCTAAACGGCTACAAGCGAAAGCAACCGTCTTTAGCGTTGCCAGAGCAACGGCGCATTTTGATGACGTAGGAAGTTGTGCTCCTTGATAGGCATTGTGGGAAATATAGTGCCTTCATTGAGACAATCAAGCTGAAAACTGCCTACATCAGAACAGATTAAGACTTTTAAGGATCTAGTTAAAGAACTTAGACTATTATAGTTCACTTTTATAAACATAATTTACAATGTTTAATGTTTTATCTCTTTTGTAAAGACTAAAGACTACAATATATGTCTATGTACAGAATTCTGGGGACACAAAACACATTTAAAAACGTTAAATCTCAGCAGTTTTTAGCTTTTTCATGGGTCCCATGAAAAGAAAAAATGCTATGTGATTACTTTCTATCCTTTGATTTGTTCCACTATCTGTTGTACGCCAAACATGTCTTAAAATAAGATAAAATCTCACCCTTCTTCTTTGTCACAACTCCATGGCTGACACATTTAAGGTGCAGAAACTCCAGCAACATTTTCGGTATTTAGAACAACTTTATTGCAAGACCAAAGAATTTCAGCTTGTAGCCTTTGACGAAAATGTTTTGGTCCTGCAATGAAGTTGTTCTAAAAACTACAAGTGTTCCTAGAGTTTCTATATCTTTATCTATCTTCTCCATGTGCCTTGGAAGTAGGTGATAAGTTCACTTCTATAATATTTGCTGATACATTTCACACAGAGGCAAATACAAAGAAATCAATCCAATATAATGTTCTCATTGATTCTAGGAAACACTGATAGCTATTGCAGTCATGCATTTTCTGGGGAGTTGTGGTCATGTTAGATCCATCCATCATTTTTACTGGTTTGACCAATAAATTAAAACCAAAACAGTGTGAGAATATTCCCCTTTAATCAAAGCACATTTAAACATTTTCAGCAGCAGCAAAGTAACATTCACCCCTAGTTCAGCTGAATCATAAGCTACTGACAACTAGGCAGAAGACCCCCAAATTAAATGAAAACACATTTATATTACATTTGTCAAAATACTGTACATGAAAAGACGGTTCCAGTTTACAGCAGAGATCTTCAGTGAATCAAACAAAGGCGTTTCTCCATGCAGCAATGATCTTTAAAATGTTCTCAGAGATCTTGAACAACCTCAAATGTTTTGGGTTAAATTCTTTAAAATGCAGATGGATGGTACCGGATGATCGCGAGTCTCTTTTTTTTTTTTGATGAAAAACATCCATCGATCATGACTTCTTCCTGGGCTGGTCACAATAGGGCACATTTTCTAGCATATGGCTCTCTCTGGGTCGAAGCACTGAGAAGCAGAGACAGAGATAAATGTAATCAGTGCATATCATTTGGAAATTACTTTCAAACATGGGAGCATTTTTTAAGAACAAGACAGGAGAAGAGGAACATAACATACAGAGTTTCTTATCTCCAATATGTTCCATTTGTAGCACAGACTCTCGGAGAACAATTTCCACATCTGAGCCCATTTTGATCATCTGTAAAAGCAGAAGGGGAATGAGCATTAATGGATTACTGTATGAGACAACTGGCAACCGGGCACAAACAATCAAAAGTCCTTCTCTAAGTATATTGCAGCACCCCCTTTGTTTAGCATCCCTTGCAGGTTAAATATAGATCTTAAGTGCTGCTGTGCTTGAAAACTGTAGCTAAACTTCAGAATACGATGTTGCTGGAGATGCTTTTTAAGTCCTAGCTGAATTATTTAGGATATATATATATATATATATATATATATAAACAAACCATGTCACAGTGTGTTGCAGGTTCACTCTACCTTGTTAATGTTTTCTTCTGATGTTTCATTTTTGTTTTTCCGGAACTCCTCATTGATCTTTAATCTTGCAGCTTTGTAGAAATAAAAGCAGTTATGCATTTGATACTGCAGAGCATACATTAAGTTATCTACTGTTTGGTATACACTCACCAGCCACTTTATTAGGTACACCTGTTCAACTGCTTGTTAATGCAAATAGCTAATCAGCCAGTCATGTGGCAACAACTCAATGCATGTAGGCATGTAGACATGGTGAAGACGACCTGCTGAAGTTCAAACCGAGCATCAGAATGGGGAAGAAAGGTGATTTAAGTGACTGTGAACGTGGCATGGTTGTTTTTTTCAGAAAGTTTCACACACTATAACACCTATCTCTAGAGTTTACAGAGGATGGTCCAAACAAGAGAGCATATCTGCAGCCACGTGATGCTATCATGTCAATATGGACCAAAATCTCTGAGGAATGTTTCCAGCAACTTGTTGAATCTATGACACCAAGAATTAAGGCAGCTCTGAAGGCAAAACGGGTCCAACCTGGTATTAGCAAGGTGTACCTAATAATGTGGCTGGTGTGTATAATATAGAGCCACAGATGTTCTACATAACTCACCTGTCAGTGCTCTGTCATCATCTTTGAATACAGCCAACCGTGTTCTGTGCAGCGCTTTAAACGTGCTCAGGACCTGCATGTACACAGCCATTCATCTTTTAGCAACATCAGGACCTTAACAGTTGTTACTTGATCTGAAACAGCTGTGGATACTAACAAAATACAGCTGTTTAGCGATCTACCTCCTAAAACAAGCAAATGTGTGTTTTTAAAATTACACCAGCCAAAGAAACAAAAAGGAAACGTGATTGTTTTACGTTATTTTTCATAAAACGTGATCATACCCCCTCCTCACCTTCAAACGAGTCCCCATCTTGGCTTCTTTTGCTCACTTCCGGTTTGGGGAAGTATCACGGACCAATCAGTGCCGACTTTACGATGACGCGTTTTTGTAGCCAATGAGCGCTCACTGTGGTTTGACAGAGCCAAAAGCGGCGCAGACAGGCTGCTCTCATCTGCGCCAACATGGCTGATGAAATAGCGAAAGCGCAGGCTGCCAAGCCGGGAGGAGACACAATATTTGGAAAAATTGTTCGTAAAGAGATTCCTGCCAATTTCCTCTATGAAGACGACCAGGTAAACATTAAATACCTTTACTTATTAACACAGTTTTGATGCAGAAAATCACGGTGGTGACGTTTAGCTAACGTTAGCTCCGTGCTAGCTCTGCAGAAACTACTACTGCACTGTGCTTATGTGAATATTTAGACGTGTGCTTTTGCTTTTGAACTTTTGCATATTCACTGGTCATAGTGTGCATACTCCTGCACACAGCTCTTCAATTTTTAATACAGATACATAATACAGATTTTTCATATTTTTATTATACATTTTCCATTCTATATTCATCCTTCCTGGCTTGAGTTTTATGCTCTCTTGCACCAAATTACTGAAGCAAATTCCTTACATGTCAAAACTTGGCAGTGAACCTGATCACGATTAAAGCAGTAAAAAGATCTGACAGGCTCAGTTTAGTTTTTGTTCTGCATGTTGTAAGTCATTGCTCATGTTGCAGTTGCTGCCACTTGGCATGTGCACACAGCTGGCTTTCCACCAAGGTATGATGGCAACGTCCACTTGTCTGCCTGCTCCTCCAGCAGACTGCAGACACCCCTATGTTTCTGCCTGTGTTAAAGCCAGGCAGAAGGTAACACCTATGATTCCCATCAGAATACACCATACCTGTCAAACAGGCTTCACTGCTTTGTCTGGTCTGTATGTACTGCGATTAAAACAATTAATAGGCAGTTGGTATAGTTTTACCTCTGTGTTTATTCTTTGCTCACTCTTTCCTGACAGGCTCTCTACATTTTTGAACTACTCAACACTTCACATATAATAAGCCAAGACTGAGTTTTTAAAATGAAGCATCTTTGAGACCTCAAATGCACCATAAAGATCCAAAATACAGTAAATCTGCATGATGTCAGTAATGGACAGTAGCACATTTTAAAATAGCTGTATCTAGGCAGATATGTGATTACCAGGAATTCATGAGGTAATTTCAGCTGGAATAATTTTTCATTTCTTTGCAACACTGCCACCTCTCTTGCACACTACAGTGGGGTTTACCCATCATGCTATAACAGTTGTGCTGCAGAGTGTTTCCATGTATGTATTAGGGCTAAACAGTTAATCATAAATGTTACCAAAATCACAATATCCAAAATGCAGGAGCTCAAGATGAACTGTGTCACAACATACCCTTGTAAATGAGGCACTGTGGTGCTACAGAGAGGCCTCGGACTACAAATCATATTTCAGACCAAAGGGAACACACTTGTTTGGAACAGACCCCAGCAAACAATCATAAAGCTAAAATTACCACTCCCACAAAAATGGTGACTCATTCCCCAATTGCAATATCTGTCAAAGTAATTGCCATATGATTTATTTTTATTTTTTTATTGTGCAGCCCTAATGTGTTTAGTAAATGAGGTGGATAACATGTCAGAAACATCTTTGCTAAAGTGGACTAAAATAAAGTAGAAGTCACGAAACAAATCAATTATTGCAATATATCATATAGATGTTTCTAATTTTCTGGTTACTTGGTGTGAAGTTTACACCGTAATATTTATAATGGTCTTATTTTATGTGATTTCTTTAAATAACCCATGTGATGCGAGAAGCAGCTGACACCCATTCAACACCATTTGGACACCCCTGATGAAACAAACGCCTCAGATGTCTGCACAGGTTAAATTCTCTGCCTTAATTTGCTCTGCTGTGTTTCAGTGTGTGGCCTTCCCTGATGTTGCTCCTCAAGCTCCCACTCACATCCTCGTTGTCCCAAAAAAGCCAATTGTTCAGCTGTCACAAGCGGAGGACGATGATGCAGCAGTAAGTATGACTGTGTGATATACCTTTACTGTAACATGACTGTCAGTGACCACTAGATGGAGCCCTTTACACAACTCAATGCTCATCTGGACAGTCACTGCTCATGCTTAAACTAACGTGTACGTATTATCTTTCTCTCTGTCTCATAGTTGTTGGGCCACATGATGATAGTTGCAAGGAAGTGTGCTAAAGATGCGGGCCTGACCAAAGGCTACAGGATTGTCATCAATGACGGGCCAGACGGAGGCCAGTCGGTCTATCACATCCACCTCCACATCCTGGGTGGACGTATTATGAAATGGCCCCCTGGCTAACTCCCATCACCCGACACAGACCACCCTGCCATCAGTGTTCACATGTGTTCTCTTGTAACCACTACTGCAGTCATGTGAATTAAAAGTCAAACAAAACCTGGGAGTTCGTCAATGATAATAAAACACACTTCACAACATCAGAGAGTCTTGTTTGTCTTTATCTAAAATCTCAGTGCTCTTTGCAAGCATCTAAGCTAAAGACAGAGGTGGAGGAGGAGTCTGATCACTGCAGCTGATGATGGGAATCACAGGTCTGTGTACAGCATGTTCTCCGCAGTCAGAGACAGTATTGCACTATATAATTTTCCATTAGCGAGACACACTCTGTCATCCATTACCATGTGCTTGCCAAGGTGTCACATCCTTTATACTAAGCACAGCAATTCGTTGATGCTGCAGTTTGAATATGCTCACTGATACTTACATCATTAAAAATGTAATACCACATTAATAGTCTGTGTGTGCAGTCTATGGTTGGCAAAAGACTCAAACACTTAATTATGCTAATATTTAACAGAGTTCAGGCATCACAGAGGAGTAGCGGAGTCAATTGCATTTTCAGTTGGGATGTGATAAATGGTGCAGACAGTGGAGAGCTCTGCTTTAATTCAGGAAGCATTATGGAAATTAAATCTGAATTAACCCTTTGCCTTTTCTTTGATTTAAAATGTCCCTGCAGAGAGGTGTTAAGCAATCCAGTTTTGGACTACAGTAAATAAATGAAGGTTTTATTGTCTGCCAGTGGTGGTCACATTGGCTACCTGTGCATTAGGGGTGTAGAAACATATTGATACACTTGAGTAGTGCGATATTATGTTCTGTGAAGCTGTATTGATTCTCAGAAACTATTGATTTTTAATTGTTTAAATGCAGCGATTCATGGCAATGGTTGAATTTGTGTTGTGTTCAAACATCCGACTGCTGGATGGCAGTGTTGTGAGCTGTCTTCAGCCATTTGACTCTTCCACTCCAACTTAACATGTTGCAAGCGTCTTACGGGGATTCTGATAATTACAAATGTAGATCCCACCGTTCTGACTGCATAAAAGAGTCAAACATTTTTTTTACACAGGGTTTTTATCCCTAAAACTAAAGGCCATTTCCATGTCTCTGTTTGTCATGAAGCAGGTAAAGGTGCTATACACACAAATTCGCCATAACATTAAAACCACTGGCAGGTGAGGTGATTAACATCGATTATATTGTTACAGCGCAATGCTCTGCTCCTGCCATCCAGCAGTGCTATTGCCATGAGAGAGGGGATTTGGTCCGCAACGGTGTTTGGGTGAGTGAAGTGCTTCAAGTAGCATCCACATGAATGCCAGAACCAAAGATTTCCCAGTAGAACATTGCATTGTAACGAGATGGTCAGTATTATTCCCTACATCTGTCAGTGGTTTTAATGCTCAATCCACAGAAAAATACAGTCTGTCTTTAGAAACGTTGCCTTTAAATGAGCTGTCAGGACTTCTGTGACGTTGTGATGTCACACCCTGACTATATGAAGGTGGAAATTGATGCCACAGTGCTGTTTCAGTCATTCCCCTGGCTGCAACAGTGGTGCAGAGACTCAGTCGCAGCATACTGGGCTTAAAGAGACAGGTGCTAAAATGGGGCGTTACAGCCTGAGAGTGAATACGGATATACTCATTTAGACTGTATGAGAATAATAATGTTTTTTTGGACATGAAAGCACATAAACATGTTCTAGTAGAAACTCCAAATACAAGTATGAACCTGAACATTAGCATAATATGAGACCTTTAAAAAATTGTGTTGGTTGTGGTCACCTAAAATTAACCTCACCTGTGTATATTGTTTGTGACATTGCCAGAAAACACGCTGAAGAGGGGCGTCTTGTCCTGATCTTCACTTCATTAACTTAAAAAAATGCAACATATTACCTTGCTAAAAGTAATACATTGCAATATATTGGATTGTGACCCGTGTATTGTGATACTATTCCTGCCACAACACAGTCCTACTGTCCAGTTGAACACCCAGTCGAATGAAAATAGAGAGACAAGTGAATGGCTCTGTTTTATTAACAGTAAGAAACAATGCAGATAGTTGAACAAATATAAAATGCATGAAACATCCACAAAATATTAAACAAAAAAATAAATAAAATGGAGTTTTTTTTCTTTACAAAAACGACAACGAACACTGATCAGATGACACATGTAGAATTTAAAAAATAAACATGTACCTAGCATTCACAGTCCCCTAATTTCAATTCTTTTGATAAAACGGGGCGAGGGAAAAAACAAAACAAAAAAAACACGATTGGAGGCTTCGTTTGTACAGACAGAATAGTTCCAGAGAGGCAAGGCAGTCACTTCTGATATCAAAGTGACATTGTTCTCTGTCAAACCATTTGACCTTCACTACTTCTGCATGAAAAAACACCACAATCTGATGTGCAAAATAAGAGAAATCTTTTTAGACAACTACGTCTTTTTCTTTTCTTTTTAACCAATGCCCTTCCTTCGTCAAAATGGGCACTTTGAGGCATTGAAAAAAACATAGTACAGTACAGTATAGAGAGAAGGAAATGAACATGTATTCTGGTACCTAAATTCACTATTGTAAGAGTATCTAAGTCCTAATACACTGCCTTTAAGTCATCTAGAACACAGACTATAAGCTGAAGAGAGATTCAGAGAATGGTTAGTCCCCATAGAGTCACTAGAAAAGCAGCAAAGAGGTTAACCATACTGTCGCTGGAACGTTCCCCCGTAGTGGAAATAGAGCGATGCACCTATTTACACTGATATGAAGCTGTATTAGAAATTCATAAAATAGATGCTTACAGAGCTTATTGTCAAAGATGTGTTCATTTCTACTCACTGACGTTCCTCAAAGACACATTTTGAACCACAAAAGGCCTCCATGTAAGTCGACCGTGTTCTTCTATGACAAGACATTATTAAAACCAATTCCAGCAGCTCTTCCATGTTCAGGGTGTTTCTTAAACTGGTGAGTGACAGAAAAAGAAAATGGACTGTGAGGTGATTCAAAGCGTGACAAAGTAAAAGGTCGACAATATCTACAATACCAGTATCTAAATATTATAAAATATTTAGCTCAGACAGTTATTTTCTTCACTCATCATTGCTAGTTTTGAAAAACACATCACATCACCCGTGACTGGAAAAAGTAGAAAAACAGCCAATTGGAAATCATAGGACACTTGAGTGGATGTACTGTAGCAAAAAAGCTAAGGGCACTGATTCTCAGGGGCCAAAACAGATTCGGCAGCAGTGATTAAACTCGTGTTTCGTTATAATAAATACGCTTTTTGAGTGAAAAATGCTCTTGACATTCAGAGAGGAGGGTGAACTGCAGACGTATCTTTAAATACAGATTCTCTTTTGCACAACAGATGAATTTCAACATGGCTCAACTGTTTGAAAATGACACTATCATTAAACTTGTTAACTTTGGTAAGTGATTATGTCGTCTGAAAATGATCATTGGTTTCCCAAAGGCTGTTACCATCGTGTAAAATTACCATTCAGCATTAGTAAGATCAACACAGACACCAACTTGCAGGAGGAACGCTCTCCGCTCTGTCCTGTACATGCTACTGGAGTGACAAACTTTTTTCCATCTACTGGGGAGAGAAAGAGAGGGAGGGAAGGAGGGAGGGATTAAAACATAAAGGAGAAACAGGTGAGCACAGAGATGGGGAGGCACTACAAATCCTTTTCAACAGAGTCAGTTTGAGAGAATGGACGGTTAGAGTCATGAAATACTGAAAACATCTGCGATTCTGTTTAGATTGTGGACTGCTTCAGACATAATGCATGTCTGTATGAGCATGTGGTTTGTCAGTGGTTACTTAAGGCTGCTGAAATATTCTCCGTGCTGAACGAGAGATAATAAATCACTGCAGTGTGAATAGAACATATTTTGCAAGTGTTATTTTACAATGCATTCTGTTTGTCTGAAAGTATTAAAGTCTTAAAAGCTGTTCTGTATATTATCTGAGGGGACGAGGGCTGCTACTATATCGAGGGTGTGTTTTTAAGGCATGTCCTTAGTGTAGGCAGGGTCCAGACACATGGAGAAGGCAAGAGGAGGAGACTGGAGGAGAGTGGAGACTGTACAACCACAGAGATCTGTCCGCTGAGTGAGGCCGGGCAGCCGTCAGTCCATCAGGAGGTCGGCCAACAGTTTGAAGTTAAATTGCTCATATTGTGACTGTCCAAATCGTTCATGGGTGAGTTTCTGTTAACAGGTTGTATCCATGATGCATCAGTTGGGGTTTAGGAGGGCTGAAGCACTTCATTTCCAGTCAGGTCTGGTAACACTTAAGCTAAATTATGTTTGTATTACATCCATAATCTTATATTGGTGTAGTAAGCAGCAGGATTTTAATGTTTCTGCACCTGCTTTGTTGCTGTGAACATGGATCACCAGCCACCTGCACTCTGTTCCAGATGTTTATTCACACACAACATTGGCTTCAGGGACACTTCATGTTCACTTCTGTGCGATGGCCTCCTCTCCGCTTGGCCGCATGCGGTTGAAGGGCAGTCCTCCGACTCCCGTTAACCCGAGACTCACGCTGGGGGGGTCTCGTGCTGTATCCTCTGTGCTGGCGGAGGAAGCTTGAACCCTGGCGGAGGCTGCTGATCCTCCGGGCCCGGGAAGGATCTCCGGCAGTGATTCTTTGGCTGGGGGCACAGACCCAGGGCTGGTGGCAGAGGGGGAAGTTGTTTTGGCGGTTAGGGGCCTGGTAGGGGTGGTGGGGCTGGTCAGGCCCAGGTTGGCCAGGGCGTCCAGGGTCCCATCTGGGTCTACCATCACATTGATCACTAGGACAGACACAGGGAGAAAATCAGTGTGTGGAGGACTTTGTCTCAAAGTAGGTGAATATTAACTGCCAAAATAAACTTTAAGTTGGGTCGTAGTTTGTATTAAAGTCCTGAAAACCTTTTTTCTTAGCTGGTTTCTTACTAGTTTTTGAGTGTTCACCCCAAAATCAAGATTGTTTTGGTGTGAGTTGCTGAGTGTTGGAGATATTGGCCGTAGAGAATATATAAAACGAGATGGCACTCAGCTTGTGGTGCTCAAAGAGCCAAAAAATGTATGTATCCTTGTTGTGAACACTTTCATGTAGGGACTATTTTCTTTTTACCAAACTACACCCACCAACTGTATCACCACGCAGAAGGAAGCGTGCATCTATTAATGGACAAGAGGCTTGTGCTCGTTACAGCGTGAGATGTAAACATTATGGTGTCCTCCTCAGCTGAGCTGTAACGTTACCTAGCTCAGTAGTGCTATGTAAGGCAGCAGTAGATGCACTCTTCCTTGTGCATGGTGATATGGTTAGCAGGTATAAAGGAATTTGGTATAAAGGAAATAGTTCCAACATGAAAGTGTACATAACAAGGTCTGTGGATTATCTTGAGTAACCAGGTCATGATTTCTGGAAAGAGACATTGCTGCTGAGTTCTTCAAATGTAATTTTTGGCGCTTTGAGCACCACAAGCTGAGTGCCATCTATCTCAGGCCTTCTCTTGACAACTTGGTAACTCACACCAAGACAATCTTGACTAATATAGCACGTGGGTGAACTGTCTCTTGATAAGTAATACCATAACATGTTTTTGTAGTTTAATCGTCGCTCATTTAGTCACAAATATTAATTATTACAGAGAAATACTTCAGATTTGAAGCGAAGTATTCATGGCTTTAGCTTCTGTCTGTACTTTTGCTGCTTTCCCCTTTTTAATATGCACGCCCTCTATCACTGGATGCAAATAAACAAATAAAATTGCTGTATGTAAAACAGCCATAATTGTAATCAACAGCTTGTTGAAGTGCGATTCACATTTATTTTTAGCACTAGTGTGATTGTGCTGGGGGTATGTGTCTTTACCTTGAAGCTGCTTTTCAACTCTCTTGAGTTCGAGCAGAATTGAGGAGATCTCCTAAAACAGGAAGGAGAAAACGAAACTATTAGCTCCCATTCATACTGCACTCTTCTCCTCATCAAATATAACTCAGACAGACTGGTTTGAGTACCTTGTTGGAGGTTTTCAGGAGTGGTATGTCACTCTCCGATCGCAGTTTGCTCTCAATTTCATCCCAGTTCCTGTCCTTATCTTTAAACAATATCCTGGAGAAAAACAACAACAGGATACACTCTCATTCACAGTGGATATACAGAGCAACACACTGAAGGACGAATAACACTTATATAATATCAGAGAGTATAATTACCTGATTTTTCCTGCTGTTTTGTCGATAGAGTGTCTGATCTTGGTGGAAAGCTGAGAGACTGAGTTGAGCAGCAGGCTGTCCAACACCGCCTGAACACACAGAGGAACACAAAACAGGTTTGACATCTGGAAACCCGAAGGTGACTGGTGACGTGTTCTTGTGAGATTCCATGTTGGTGTATCTTTGCTTCTCACCTCCTCTCGGTTCCAGGTGCGTCTCCTCAGAGCTCTGGGCTCCAGACTGTCGGGGGCACGGGGCCGGAGCTCCACTGGCTTGCCGTTGATCTCTGGTGCCTTATTGGTTGAAATCACAGGTGGGATCTTTCTGAAGTTGAGACTCTCATCAAACACCCGATCCACCAGCTGGGCACAGACAGGGAGAGACGTCGGAGGGGAATAAAACTCAAAAACTTTAAGAAATATCTCACAGTGTTATTCCAGATTTGTTTAATAGAGTCAAGATTTGTGAGAAATGAGGAATTAGTAAAGCTAAGCAGCTCTAAAGTTTTAATCGTCGAGCCAAAAAAGTCCTCTTATAGCATAAATAATAAAGGAATGAATGTGGAGCAGATGAGAGTGTGATAAATGAATACCGCTCACAGCAGATGAAAGCTATAAAGTCACAGAGAGGCCATTTTTATCCAAGCAACAGAGGAAGGATGGCAAGGGCAAAGCGATGGAAGCACACACAGTAAAGCAATGATAGAAGAAGAAGAAGAAGAACGGGCACCTTTCTCATGCTCTCCTGTATGTCCGGCTGCGTGGGGCGTGCAGGGCCTACCTCTTCCCGGGTGTCGATGGCCGATCCCGGGGTGGTGGCGGCCGTGCTGACGGTGGTGCTTGGTGCTGTGCCCGATGAGCTCACCGAGTCGATCTCGCCAGCGACGTCGTGGATCTCACGGGCCAAGATGGCCAGGTCCTTAGCCAGGTCCTGGCTGATCCTGCGCACACAGGGGAATAACCTGTTAACCATCAGACAGATGAAGGAGTTCTTTAGACATCCAGATGAACACATGCAACGTGCATACACAACAATCTGTCATCACATACTCATCAAGTATATTAAGTAATATACTGTATATTAAAATATTACATAGATTTATTAAATGATCACTACCTGGCTATCTCCTCGCTGTGTGCTGTCCAGTCCTTGATGTACTCCTCTTGCTCCTTCATGCGGTGTTTGATCGCCACTCCACCCGGACCAGTCACCACACTGGAGCCTGGGGTCACGGTGGTGCCCAGTCTCGAGCTGCGGTGCGGGGCGAGATGATGAGGGCGCATGTGGGAGCGTCCGCCGTGTTTTGGAGAATTCCTGCTGGAGCCAAACTCTTCCTCTGAGGTGGAGCCGTACTCCGGCGGCAGACGTCTCCACCTGCTGCTGCTCGCCACTGTGAAGATAATGGAAGGGCATTACGTTCAGTCAACATCACTGCACTTTATTCCATTACAACATTTGTTATTCATGAAGTTAATAAATGGGCTTATGAACATGAGAGACTTTGTTACAGAGAAAGCCGCCAGCCAGAGCTGCTTCGATCAGACAAACTTCAAATATTGTGCAAGTAGAAGTAATAAGTCTGAACTCTAAGGCAGTATAACGTGGATTAGAGCTCTTTCTGATTATGGACTTAAATGCAGACATACTTTATTTTACAATGACATGTTATTCTCTAAAATCTACTGTGCATCCTTCTTGAAGCAAAATAAAAAAGAGGGGCTGTGAAAAATAAAAACTGGTTAAGCAAAGCATTAGATTTTAAATTAAATTATTGTTACCAGACAGCTACAGAAATGTCTTCGCAACTATAAAACCACACCAAGAACAACAGAAACAGCAGCAAAAAGTAACTCAGACTTTATCTAAAAGCTCTCCACTGCAGGCAGCCAACAAAAGCATCCAACAAGGTACGTACAACCCTGACAGAGCCAGGGATATGTTAAGCTGCATCAAAATGGTCACACAACAACAACTGCATTAATGTAGCTGCACCATGATGAGACAACACCATGCTCTATCAGTCTCTGAGGAGGTAAAGTGGGACAAAGTGGAAGTGTCATGAACACAAATCTCCACAAGGTGGAGTGTTTGTGCTCATGAGTTTTGAAAGTTTGCCCTGCGATGTTGGAAAACATTTTGACAGTGTGACAGAGTGTGATTAGAGCATTTAGGTCTTCATCACAGCATCACTTGATGGATGTCACGAGGGAGACAGAGTTAACATGGTAACATATGCTAGAGCTGGGTCATCGTACTTTACCTTTACTCACTGATATTTCTTTATGTGATGCATTTACGATAAGAATTACACGTAGATTATAGATTTTCATTGCAAAATTAAAATCTGTAAAAATGTAAAAGATCAAAGTGTGTACATTCCTTAAAGCTTAAGTTGGTAACGTCTATAAAAACAACATTTTTGTCACATACTCTGAAACTGTCATCATATTCACAAAGCACTAAATGAAACATAATCTGTGAAAAAAATCATATTACTCTGCCTACTTTATTGCCTTGTGGTGCTTCTAATTGCCTTGCTGCTTGTGAACGTACACAACTAGAGCCGAGGAGACTCAAAGGAGCTTTCAATCATGTCAATTACTGCTTGAGAACTGCGTCATAATGCCAACAGAAAAATGAATCAGGATTCTGTTATTGCACTGCTTATTTCTCACCTTTAGTGTTCTGCTTAGCTGTGAAATGAGAACATTTGTGACCCAGCCGCCATGTTGGAAACTAAGTGCTGCCCACTGGCTGGAGCAAACTTCCTCTTTACAGCTTAACAGTACACTAGAATATGTTTCTGAAAATGTCTGAAGTGTAAAACAGGCAATGCAGTAACAGAATCTTGATTCACATTTGATCAGCGCTGCCTGGTTTCACAGCATGACCACAGTTCACGAGCAGTGGTTGACATCATTGACAGCTGCATTAGAGACTCATCAGCTCTGATTGCTCTATGAGCCACAGTAGATGCTCGCAAATGCCCCTAGGAAAGAGGAGGAACCTGATTTTTTTTCACAGACTGTCTGTCTCATATATTTCTGTGTAGATGTAGTGACAGTTTCAAGAAATATGACAAAAGTAATTTCAGAAAAGTCACTCAGATTTGAGTGGCTTCTTTCGCTGTGACCCAGTTCTGACACAAACACACACACACACACACACACACACACACACATGCTGTCTAATCAAGGTTCTACATTTCTGGTACAGTACCCATCAGCTCCTCCTCTGCATCACCGCCCTCAGGTTCGGGCTGAGAGCACTCTGCACGATGACAACCAACGCACAAGTTTGTCACAACACAGTGGAAATGTTTACAGACAAATGTTTACACACCAATGAGATATGTAATGGTGTAGACTTTGTGGACAGAAATAACAATTATAATATTATTAGAAACCCTGATGACCGATTCCCCTCTTCTCCTTTTTCCTACAGTGTCTGAGAACACCAGACTGAACCATAAATGCAGATGTGCTCACCTGTGGGCGAGCAGTATCCAGATGTAGTGGTCTTGCTCTTGGTCTCGTTCAGTTTGGACACACTGTTGGCCCTCATCCTGGGTGTCAGCCTGTTCTCTGTTGGTGTTGACGAGCGCAGGCCCAGGCGCAGAGCAGTCTCAGCTGACAGGCGGGGTGAAGAGGTGGAGCTCCGTGTCACTGTGCACTCTGAGTCACTGCGGGCGGAGATGGAGCCCAGACGGGTCCTACGCGGCTGAGCCAGCATGTCAAGTCGTGACAGTCCCTTTCGACCGGATGGCGGCTTAGAGGTGGAGCTGGTGGTGGATACCTCAGAAGCCACAGACACCCTGTCTGCATCAGCTAGGTCCGTGTCAGAGGTATCCCCCAGCCGAGCACGGCGGAGAAGGGAGGCTCTCGTGGGCCGTGGCTGAGGCAGTGAGGCCTGCTTGCTCAGGGAGGAGGTCGTGGCTGCCTGGAGAGTGCTCCTGGTTTTGGAGGATCCACTGGTGGATGTTTTAGTAGACCTGCTATCGAGCTTGGAATGGAGAATGTCATCTGAGCCACGTCCGTGTGCTGAGCGCCCCATAGGTCCAGAGTAGGTCTCCTGGTCTGAGGACAGGATGTCAGAGATGGGGAAGGAAGAAGTCTGGTCATCATCAGTGAGATCCAGAGAGGGCTGGCGTGCTCTGGAGGATGGCTGAACAGAGCGTCGTGCATCAGTCCGGCTTGTCGCTTCCGAAGTTCTTGTTTTAGTCTTCCTCTCCAAGCGGTCACGGGCACTTGCATTAGTGACACTGGTCTTGGAAGTCGTGCTCATGTTGCTCTTCTCCCTGTGCATGCTGCTCAAGGAACGTCGTTTTTGCTCGCCACCAGCTGATGCTTTCCTCTCTGCCTCTCCAGCTACATGACTGGCTGTGCTGGCCGTGTCAACATCTGACTCAGGAGAGATGGAGTCAGTCCGAGGGGGGACGCCTTTTTTACTACTTTTCTGGTCGAGTTTGTTTTCATCTCTTAGTTTGGCCTCTAGGAATGCCATGACAGCTTCAGTGTCCTTCAGGAGTGTAGCAGTATCCATGCTGCCCACGGAGTCACTGCGCTCACGCCCATTGCTGCCTCTGTTGATGCGTGGGATGAGCTCTGCATTGACATTAGCGCTGGGCTTCTCAATTGTGAAGCTGCCCTGGCGCACTAGAGGCTTCCCAGACTTCTCTCCTCCTTCTCCTGATCCTCCTCCTTTCCTCTCCTCTGACCTCTTCCTCCGCTCAGTGCTGCCAGAGGACCGGAGAGGAGCCTTGGATGGAGAGGATGTGGAGCTCTGCTTCCGTTTACTGGTCATTTCACGGTCCCTCGTGGGAGTCGGGGACTCCCCGTCTCCCTTGTTCTCTTTCTCCTGGGCTTCAGTGTCCTGTTTCTCCCCAATTTCAGACCTCAGTCCAAGAGCTTTGGTGCTGGATTTAGCCCGGGGGTCATCCACAGGGAGCTGGGGGAGGGTCCTACGCTTACGGTCTGTCAGACTGGAGGAGGATTCGCCTCTACTGAGGGACGCACCAGACTCAAAGGCATCAGTTCCTAAAGAACAAAAGACGAACACACTTAGATTCAAGACTTTTTTTTAATCATGAATAACAAGCAAATTCAAGAGATTTCAAGTTCTGCTTTACACTGGGCAAGATCAAATAAATTGTATTTCAGAACTGACTCCAGCTAAACATTAAGACTCACTCATTATCTGAGAGTCAAGCAAGCACGTACCTCTCTCTTTGTGGAGGAAGGCGGCTGTTTCTGCTCCTGAGCCCTCTGGATCTGTCCTGGTGTGATTGGCAGCGAGACTGGCCCACTGAGAGACCCAACTCGAGTCGCCGGAAAGAGCCTGAGGGCACATGAGAGGGGGGTGGGGTGGCAAGAGAGTAGGACACAGGAGTGAGAAAAAAGAGCAGTTAAGTCAATCAATGTTGGCACAAAATAGACAGAGCAGATCATGAGCAGGATTAGCATTTACTGTATGTGTTCATGGGAAATAAAGTACATGATGATTCTTGACACATTATGATAATTCTTGTATTTGTATTTTACTTGAAAATCAAAGAATGTCTGATTTGAAGCTGCTTGTATGCCTAAATTTTAATACCCACCCCCATTATCACCTTACAAGAAAGTTTTAAAGCTGAACAACTACTCCTCATTTCAATGAAGACATCTTTCTAAATAGCATAATAGATAGAAAATGCTCATACACACGGTCCCCTCCCTCCTATAAAATTCCCTGGAGGGCAGAGCGTGTCTCTCCACATCTTCGTATGATCTAGGTCAGTCAATGGGAGGACTAATCTACTCCCATGAACCAGCTAGGGGAGGAGAGCGGTCAAGCCATGGGAGAGGCGGTGACTCACATCATGAAATTCATTCTTGACTCTGTTATACTACACTGGCCTGAGAGTTATAATAACATGCTGGGAGTCAGAGGTCATTTTTACAAAGTGGTTTGTCTAATCAAAAGGAATTTAACAAAGAATGAGTCACTGTGGGCCACATTAACATTGTAGTAATGGACACTCGTGTGGAGGTGAACTTATGAGGAGAGGTGGAGAAAGACAGCAAGGGAGAACTGATAATAAACTCTGAGGGAAGATAAGTAGAAACAGGAACTTAAATAAAATAGAGAGACAGATATGCTACCTCTTTCCCCGTCTCTCCTGTCTCCTTTCCTTTTCCTTCTCCCTTAAGGTCTGACAGAATAGAGGAGTCCTGGTTCTGCTGCACACCAAACACCTACACACATTTGAAAAAGCAGGACAGAAGAAAACAGATGATGATAATGTTGAAAATATGGACATTTTGCTGAAGTATAATGCTTGCAAATCATGTGGCATTACGTATGTAAAGTATGTTAGAGGTGAGGGAGAAAATCAGTTCTTAAAAGATTATGTTTTGGTGCAGAAAAGTCAATAATGGGAAATTTTAAAACCCAATTCTCGACATTGTGATCGCCTGTAACAATTTTCAACATACATTCCTTGTGGCTGAACCAACTGGATGGTGAAACATAACATAATGTGCGTCATCGGCACCCCCTGGCTTAAGAGTTCCCATATGGAAGCATTTTGGCTTCTGTGAAGTTGAAGGGAAAAGTGGATCTGGACGAGAGCCACAAGTAGATTCATCTGTTTATTTGAATTATGGCTCATTACAAATACCTCATGTTTTAAAAGTAGCAGTCACACAGTGACAGAGCGTACAGAAATCAAAAAATCTAATGCATCAAGATGGATCGATAATCGTTTAATAATGACATCATAGCACTCTCAATAGGAATCAAATTGTGAGGTGCCACGAGTTTCCAACTCCTAATGCGTGTACTGTTTGTCCAATTAGTCTTTATTCTGTATGCATCCTGAGCATAATAGCACTGGAGCACACTTTGTACTGAAAATGAAACACCCTCATAATACATAAACACTATGCTAATATAATTATTCTACAGTTCTCCTGGTGACAAAAAAGTGAAGTGAACAGACAGAAGATACTGTTGAATTAAAGCATCGATCTGCACTTGATGGCTGAGCACCATGGCAACGAACAGAAACCACACACACACACACCACACAGTTTACAAAAGGGAGAGAGAACGAGAGCGGACAGACTGTGAGCAGTGTGCCAATTAGTGTGTCAGTTAATTACAGGAATTAGCATAACAACACTTCCAGTTTCGAATGTAATGCACTCAGACTCACACTGACTAGAAATACACCCCACTAATTATGATCACTGCTCCTCCTAAGATGACACCTGTATACGACACTTAAAGGGACATGTGCCTCTTTAAGATGTCATTTACTTGAGTTTAAATTATGTAACTTCCTAAAAATAAATCAGAATTTAGTGGGTAGCAATTAAAAAGGCGAGTGAACTTCCATCACACTTTGCATTTGCTGTACCAATTTAAAGGAAGTGTTTTTAATTCCTACTTGTAATGATGGTAAAATGTGACCTTTAAACTATTTTTAGTTTCTCATCCTGAAACGAACACTAAACTGTGAGTGTATTGCTTTGCCCCTTTCAGACGTATTTTCTGTGACCATGAAAGACTGCAGTGCCACAGGACAGGGGCAGCAGTAAAAAACAGATGATGGTTTTTAAGCCTCCCCAGAGCGTTGTTTAATAAAACAGGGCAGTGCTTGATGGAGCAAGTCTCCGCGGGCTATTACAGAGGCATTAGGTTTACCAATGGGACAGAGAGGATGGAGTGGTGGTCAAGCAAGGCAGCTGAGAGGCGATAGCTTTGTTTTAGTGGCAGCAACACAAACCATTCACAAAGGACTTGCTAACCCCGAAAAGTGCCAACGCAGCAGGTAATAAAGAGACAATTAACCTTGGTCTGTTTGTGCTTGGTCAGATTCTCCTGAGTTACTGCAGAGTGAGTTTGAATGATGCACTTGTCATTCAGCTTGCTGCTTTTACGGTCACAAATAAGCAAAGAAGGCACTAATGACCAAGTTTTTATTTTCACCTTTTCTGGGGTTGATTAGAATGACCTGAATGTAAAGAACTAACAGTAAAACAAAGGGAATAATAATTCTCCAAATAACCTCCATTTGAACTTGCAGACTTTGTGTAATAGACCCAATATATTTTCACCTCCAAAGCCATTCTAAATGAATGGAATAAGACATGAATAGAAAAATAAAACCTGCCTCTGCTTGTGGCAAACTACAGTGGCTTTTAAAATAACTGCATTTAATAACCACAAGTGAAGTCCAAGTCTTATAATTACAAATAAGACATAGATAACCCAGCTCCATGCACTTTACAATCCACTCAACTGTAGTTACTTCACTACAAAAAGCAACACAAAAGAGCTGTGGTGCATCTACAAGGAAACAGTAGAGTATTGCTGTATTGTGTGGCACAACAATGTGTGTAGCTGTTCACATCTCTGGGAATTAGCTCCAAAGGGAGTTGCATTTTGTTGCTCTTATATGCAGAGTAGACAGAGTCAGCAAATTGCTTTTTTAATCACAAATTGGTGGGGGTGTTCATGGCATAAATTCAGAATAAAAATGTCCTCTTTGTAGCTCAACCTGAGAAAAAGAGAACATCTCTCAGTTTCTCAGCTGTAATCTAGAATCTAAAATGCAAAGGTAGGATTCCAAATGCACCTTCACGTTGGCATTAAGATGTTGCAGTCAAGATAAGTTATTGTGATGGGTGAGGTAGAAAGACAGAAATGATCCTACATGGAGCAGGACGACCCTTACCTTATCTATCATGCGCCTGGCCTCCTCTTCCTCTGCGTTCCTGTTTTCCAGTTCAATGGTGTACGTCCCCTTATCGCTGTGGTCGTCCTCCGCCTCCCCTCCAGCTGTTCCTGCTCCTCTGCCAACGCACGAGGTGTCCTCGCTGGGGCTGGTGGGGCTGCCTGTCGCCAGCCCGGTACTGGCTGAGCTGCGACCGATACTCGGGTCCTCTGACCTCTGCTTGAGAAGGACGCGGGCAGCCGTGGGGGCACCTGCAGTCACTGTGGCTGGTATTGGAGCTGGGACCTTACCTACAGGTAAGAAAGTGTAGAGCAGGAATAAGTCTCTGTGGCAGCAGATTAACTTAAGAGTTTAGTTTAGTTTCAATTCATGCAGGAATACTTTAAAACAAAACCTGGTGGAGACATTTAAGTGCCTTTGACTTCTCATGAATCTCTCTGTTTTTAAAATGCACTCATTTTAATTTAAATCATTTTATATATGTAGGAGAGCATCACAGAACATATATTAAACGTGATGTAACCATTTAAATACCTGAGTCTGAGGCTGTAGTAGCTGATGTGGAAATGCTGAACACCTTTGGGTGAGAGGGAGGCTGGGGACACAGTCCTTCACCGCCACCTCCGACCCCCTGCAGGGGTGCAGTTTGGGAAAACGAATATGATCGGCGCTTGCGAGGGTTTTCCTCGTCGTAGAACTCGATCATAAAGGCCGTGCGGCTGCCACCTGCTCTGGCCCCACTCACTGATATGTTCCCCCCTCCTGTTCCTACCGCTCCTCCTCCCACGTGGCCGTGCGCTGCTTTCAGGCGTTCCTCGAGGGCATGGCGGCGGTTGGCGAAACGTAGGCCCAGTCCATTCTCTGAGTCACTCTGGGTGCCATCCTCATGTTTGCTGCCTGTCAGGACACAAAAGAGAAAACACAGATGAGTTACAACAAATGCTTGGTGGGAAAAATATTTCAGTTTTCACATTATTCCACATGACACTGTATAAACATATTCACAATCAGATAGATGTGTTTGCCTACCTGGGTTAGCTTCAAATCACACAATTAATGGATTTACAACCACTGACTCACTGTAACCTAGATACATAACTGCTAAGCTGCAGGATGTTACATTAACTAACATTATTAAATACAAATCTTAACGTGTGTACACACAGTAACACAGCAATATAAACCAGCTGCTGGGCAACCATTCAGATACAAAACAGCAGCATTGTGCAATGTGCGCTCCAACAATGTGTGTGGCTGTTTTGTCTACTTCAATTGTGCAACCAAGAACAAGAAGAAGACAGGAGGTCCCATATAGACCACAGCACAGAACCACATCCCTCTGAAAGCACATCCACTGTGGATACAACAAGAAACAAATGTTTGCTAACCATTACAGCCCTGATGAACTGTGGCCTGGGTCTAAACATTCAACCGTCCACACAGACTCTGAGTTTACAACGATTGTTTTACCTACCACATCACTGCTATTCCTTCTTTTTGATCAGTCTGGGTCAAATCAGCATGTCCTCAGTTTGGTGTAAAAGGCAGACAGTGTGCCACGCTAATCCAGACATGCCACCCACTCGGGTATTGGCCCTGCCTACTGCTGCCAGTGAGAGACAGCGTTAAGGGGGAGGGGAGGAGGAGAACATGGAAGGGGAAGCACAAGGAGGAAGCTGGATGAGAGGAGAGAAAGGGCTTCAGGGATGGAGGAGGAGGGGAGGTGAAAGGAGACTGGGAAGGAGAATGGAGGCTAAACTGGGAATGAGGGTGGGGAGAAGAGGAAAAAGAAGAGGGTGGATGGGGAGGGAGAGGAACTGGATTAAGTGGGAGAAACGCAGAGACAGAGTGGGAATTCTCAGCTGAAGGAGGCTCAGGATATAGTGTAATGCCACTGGAGCTGACAGCCACTCACACAATCAGCACATCAATTAACGAGCCAACAGGCAGCCAGTCAGAGAGAGGAGGGGAGGAAACACCACACTGGTGTTATGAGTGAAATCGTAAAACACTTCCACTTGACACACCTTTGTCATTAATCATTGCACAGCTTTAGATCCTGGCAAATACAGTACTATAATCTGTGTTTCTCATGCTTTCTCCCGACTAACAAATGTTCAAAAATAAACTATGACGTCAGAAGGAATTCATGCTGCAGCATCACTCCACAATCAATTAATTTGAGCTTCATTGGAGTCAACTTATAACCAAGTAGCCATGTTTAAAGAAGTTTCACTACAGCCACAGTGTGCAGGGGATAAATCAAGTACTAGAAGTGGACTGCCCTCCACGAGAAAAGAGGACAGAGTGCTTCCATGGCTGAGTGGACTATAGTGGTTTGCCTGGGGAACTGTCCACACACTGTGACTTTGAATCAGTCTGATGCTCTGATGTCTTTCTTTTTTTTTTTTTTGAGATATTTTTTCGGGCATTTTTAAGCCTTTAATTGATAGGACAGATGAGCATGAAGGGGGGGAGAGAGAGAGGGAGTGACATGCAGCAAAGGGCCACAGGCTGGAGTTGAACCCGGGCCGCTGCGGCAACAGCCTTGTACATGGGACGCCTGCTCTACCACTAAGCCACTGACGCCCCACTGATGTCTTTCTTTATCTCTACTGTGATCTGCACTGTAAGTCTGAGTAAGGACAGCATGTACTGTTTGAAATCATGGATAATTATTTAAATACAGCAACAATTTGCAAGGTGTGCCATTGATCCAGTTTAGACAAAGACGGGGTATCAGGAGGCTTTTAATATATGAGGATCAGTTTACTTGTAATGGGTAGTACTAAAGCAGTTGTATGATGTCCTCTGTAGCTCTGGAGGAGATGTCATTGTGATATCACGGAGGAGGGTTATCTTCTCTTTTTTAAAATAAAGCATGTGTTACAAATGAGCTTAGCATCAAAAGACAATATGGTGTCCAGTGTTTTTGGAGCTTGACCCATGCTTGGGACTCTTATCTGTGAAGATATCTCAGGTTCTGCTGCTTTCTTTTTTTCAGTCTGTGATCACAAGTCCACCAATTTTATAGACATACAATATTAAGTTGCTGGAGTACTGACAGTAGATGGTGGTCGGAGCTTTAAAGCGTTAATTCAGATTCATCAAAGTGACACAATAAAACAAACAAACTAATCAATCGAGGCAGTGGTAGGCCAGGAACTCCTGCGCTCTGTGAGGTAAAATTACTGTTTTTGTAAAAGGGGTCTGGTGGCTTTGAAGACAGCAATATAACGATTTCAGTTCCCCATCTAAAAGGGCAGTTTGAAGGCAAAGCGGTGAAATTTTGTGTGATACTAATTTTTTAGGTGGCTAAAATATGTTTTGGTTATGCCTCCGTCGACAGCACTACCTTGCCATGCTTATGCGGCGGTACTCCCATCTGCCTTTCCAAACTGGAGTGTGCCATCGCCATCTTCTCTAGATAACACACTGACTCCACTTCAAAAATTCTGAACTATCCCTTTAAATACTGTTCCACATTGGCGGATCACAATAGCTCTGTGGCCTCAGGCATATTTCTGAGTCTGCAGCTCATCTGTCACATTCCACCACTCACCTCCTCCATCTTCCCTGTCTTCTATCACTGTCTGAAATGTATTAAAGCATACATTTCATTAAGAAAAAGAAGAAAAAAAAACAGGTAAAGGGGATGAGGGGAGGAAAGTAGCAGAGCGTTACAGTAGCTTGAGCAGATCAACAGATAAAGCAGACAGAGAGAGGCTGGTCTTTCATGCTGTGTGCAACCGGACAAAGGAGCTGTTGGCAGGGCCAGAGGAGAACAGAGGTATCTGTGAGAATCCAGCGCTCTGCCCCACTCGCCCCACCATGACTCACAGGGGAGCTGGACTCTGTCTCCGCCACTGGCTGCACACACACACCATACGGACACAATTGAGCATCTGACACAAGGCTGCACTTGCTTTACATGCATGCACAGCCACAGACAAGCAAACACACACAGAATTGTGCTACATATACAGTATAACATGCACACACAGTATTGACGCTCTACTACTGCAAATTAATATCAAAGCACATGTAGCACTCTTTATAAATCAAAATTGCAAAACATAAACTTGTAATCTCACCAGCATTTCAGATCACACCTTTACAGCCTGACACTGATCAGAATCACATCTTATTGGCACATATTTTCAGATGTTAAAACACACACCAACAGTTCATGTTTCAACATTGACAGAAATATCAGACAGCTCTGCGTTGACCTTTCTACAAGAAGAGAAACACTCACCTTGATGCTTACAAATAAAGCTGCTTCAGCTGCCTCCTCTCAGTTTCCTTCCTCAACCTCTGCCTAGCACCTCTTCGGCACACCCTAAGCATCATCACACACGTGCCTCTCCTTGCTACATGCTACACTGCTTGTCTGCAGATCAGTGCTGAGCACGTCTGAAACACACACATGCAGCCAACACACACACGACGAATTTCAGCCACGCAAATGCACGCGCGAGCAGCACATGCTTCACACACGCCCTCCATCAGTGCTGAAACGCGTCCCTCACACATGCTCCTGCAGCCTTCACACACAGACAGACACAAAGAGATGCTCGTTTTTGTAAATGTATGTCTGTATTGTGTCTTTCCCTGGCATCATTTACATCACTGTTACTATAACAACTATCTGCCAAAAACTGCTCCCTCCTCCTTTCACCGCCTCCCTTTCCGCTTTCACTGCAGTCCCGGCAACAAGCCTCCCTCTCTCTCTCTCCTTCCTGCCTTTCTTTGTCCAATCACCTTTGCCGTTATTGCTGTGAATGCTGCTGTCAGCGTACCAGTGGGGTTCTCCCGCCTTCCTCACCCTCTCACCCATCTTCCCGCTGTACCTGTTTTGCACACCTCACATGTCCACAGCCGGCATCGAGAGGCAGCTTTCCATCCAGCTGTCCACCTGCTCTCTATCCATCCCTCTTTGTCCACTCCCTCCCTCTTCTCCTCCTCACTCCACCCATCTTTTAACCCCTTTCTTTCTCTGTATCACAGCCACAGTCTTATTTCTCTCTCCCCCTTAAGGCACTGAAATACAGCTTATTAAGTGTCAATCAGCCTCAGCTTCAACTGAAAAAAAAAGTCCCAAAGTCAGTCAGACAGTCAGTTAGCAACATAATCATCTATCAGGTGAGCCCCTCCGTCAGCCAGCTGACGCACATGTAGCACTAACTCCACTAATGAATTAGCTTCCCTGCCTTCCACTCCTGCCTCAGAGATTTCCCTTTCCATCAGCTCCTGTCTGCTCGTCCCTCCCCCACACATGTCAACAACATCATAAATTGGCCTCCATTTAATTAACTCATGACCAGCATGTAGCCTACCAGAGCCTAGCTTAGCATCAAACTCTCTTTACTGGCAGCACACAGCTTCGCTCAATCTGTCCAACTCTCACAAACCCCCCTGGCAGCAGGAGCCTACTCAGCAGTTGGCTGCTTGCAGGTAAAAGGAACAAAGAAATGCAGAGAGCAGAGAATCTCAAACCACAGAGACATAGCAGCTAGCTGGAGAAGACTTCGATATCCACACTGACAATGCAAAAGGATAAAATCAACAAAATGACGACAATCAAACCAAAAGCCACATCCATGGTCTTGTAGTCATGCCATGCAGCAGTATGAGCTCCAAACTACATAATATATCTGCAAATGGTAAAAAAAATGGGGGCTGTGCTATGCTACTAATGCTGAGCCTTGTCATTGGATGTCACAGCAGTAGATGGGGGTTTATATGTCTCTGTCTGCTAGCTGCTAATCCCCTGGCTTGGTTACCACTGCCAACAACCGCTCCTCTTAACAAAGAGTAAACCAGTCTTTACATATCAAAGGAAGAGATGAACAGAAAATTGAGACAGTTTGAGAGAGAGAAGAAGAAGTAGAGAACCACAAAAGGGTACAACATAAACTTTTACACAATCCACGCACATACAGAAAGAAAACAAGCTCCACCTTTTAGCCTTTTGAGATGGACCGGCACGTCGCTCTTGATGCTCTTGCTGTCATCCTCCGTTGACTCGCTGCGCACCAGAGTGGGGTCGTTCTGCGCCAGCCAATCAGCCACCTTACTCTCCGATGCCATCATAGCGGCTTGCAGTGTGCTTAAGTCCCGTCCTCCTGCTCCTCCACTACCTGCTCCACTCTTCTTGGAGCGAGATCTGTGGTGGTCAGGTGTGAACTTCGACACGTGGTCTTTAATGGTGACTTTCCCAGGAGAGGTGTTGTCAAACTCTATGGTGAAGGAGGCGTGACCTTGAGCTGTGGAGCAGACATTGCAGTTTTGTTACTGTCAGTCAGAACTGCTAAATATAGTGTTGCTGGGAGAAGCACTTTACAAAATGAATTTATAACTGTGACTTCTTGGTGTAATCAGATGATGGAAATGTACAGTAAAAGGATATTTATACAGAAATGATCAAATCAGCTGATGGCTCCTGTTGCAGAATGATTGCTTCTCTGTTTGTGCAAGACAAACAGTAGCCACTTCCTCTTTTCTGTAAATCAAAGTCTCTTCGTGCCATAAAGGAACACATTTCCCACAAAGGAAACGTGATAGGACTCAAATGTGTACAACAATTATACTGTTTCTACAAATTGTAATCTGTGATTATAAACTACAAAGGTCTTGAGTGTAACAGACAGTATAATCTTAATTTCAAACTACTTTTTATTTACCATAAATCAGAAACAATAAAATGTCTGCTTCACCTGCAGCAGTGTGAGTGGCGGTGCCCTCTGTGTCCTTGGTGGGAATCTCATGGATGCCATTATTGGCCATGTGACCCTCCTTGGTGGGCATCTCAAAGTAACTGGAATCGTGGGCGGTGGACGCATGAAGGCCGTCCTCTTTAGCTTTCTCCCCTCGACGAGCCTCTTTGCTGTCTGAGGTTCAAAACAAATAAAGATGTTACTAAATTTTGATGTTGATGACAGCTACTTTTAAAAGTTGAGGCCCCGTTCAAGCTTTTTGAGCTGAAACATGTTACACATATCTGTAGGACTAGGACCATATGAAATGGGGCAGGAGTTCAAAGCAACAAACGCTTAAATTCCTGCATTCTGGTGAATTTTTATGCATTCATTTAAGATGAAAATGTCTTAAATTTCATCTAAATAAAAGACCAGCTACTTTGATGTTTTTGTTGGAGGGGGACAAATGCATATGTATTAAATACTAGGGAGGGTTTGGGTCCCGCTTCAAATCTACGCCTATGAATACATTAAAACAGCATAGTTTCATAACAAAAAGCAGCATATGAGGTGTTATCTCAGTTCAGTTCGTCTTCACAGCTCCTATCGGTCTGTCACAGCTCCTATCCAAACATCCCAATGCTTCAAAATCACAATGAGAGATGAATACTAAGATTTATTATCAAAAGTCTAAAGTGAAAGGTCAAGCCAGGCCCACAATGGACCAATTCAATCATGGTCTTCTCTTCAACACGTGTGTCTCACCATTTATCAGAATTACTGTCTCCCTCTGGGGGAGGATGCAGATGTATAAACTACAAATACTACAAAGACACGTACGCTCTGTCTGTTTCACTCTCTGTCTCTCATTTAGACATATACACAAACACACACACACGTCATGTCATGCAAGTCACTCAGGACGAGATGTGCTGGTACAGCTCTTTAATACCTGCTCTGGGGCACTCACAACATGGAGCACTTATTTTCTCATCTGTTCATATTAACAAACAGAGCCGCTGTGGGATCTGAATATGATAAACGATACTTTCAGACATTAGAGGGGCCATCTGCTTCGTGTTGGGGAGCAACTGTAGGCACATATGGCAATTGGCAAAAAGAAACAAGATATGGAAACTGACTTTGTAGAATATAGGTACCAGTAAAACATTGTTGTTCTGGCAGACTCAGGAGCCAAACAAGGAACTTCCCACAAACAGAAACTCTGAATTAAAAGGCTTATTTTCCACTTTAGTGTCATGAACTAAACTGCTAAAATATCTCTTTGGGCTCATCTTTGAAATTAGATCTGCGGTTACCAGCATAAGCTGCTCTGCAAGTTTGGAGAGATTTACAACATGGATTTAAGCTGAGTGCAAATATTAGGATCTTGAGATCAAATGTGTCGAATGATGCTTAGGATCCGACGGCTTCACTGGGAAGGTGAAACCATGAAAACAAAACTGACGAGTTAAAATAAAAGTTCACAACAGACCAAACAACAGCAGGTACAGAACTGCTATTTGCTCCTTTTTAAAAATTATTAAGAACTGACTGTACTTCCTGTATCTCACATATGTAATACATGTGAAAAAATGTGAATACTGTCAGAGCTTCCATTGACGTCAACATAAGTCACATGGCCTGTCTGGGAAGTACCTACTCATTTTTGTGAAGTTAGGAGTTTCATGAATGAGTTTAATGCCAATTATGTTTCCCATTAGAGTCTACAACATACAAAGATTAAACCTGACAACAGACACAGTATTACAGATAAATCACATCCTGGAATATATTGGCATTCAACACACTTACAAAAGGCATCTCCTGTTAGGTGAGTGTCACTGACTTTAAACAACAGTGGCAAAACTTAAAACAATCCATTTAACACCTGCAGCGCCTCTCATTTAAAATTCTAATGTACTTAAGAGCTAAACAGAGTTAACTGACCGACTAGTTCTTACAAGAGCCACAGGTAATAAAGCAAGGCACCCTAATAAAAAGTTGATTCAAATTGACAGCCCTTTAGCGGCTCCATTAGCCAAAGTACATGGAATTGAGAGCAATACTTACCGGAGAATTGGAGAGTGGTTAGCTAATGATTGCTGCAGTACAGAGCGAGAGAGTGGCCTGTTTGAATGCTGTGTGCATGTGTGTGTGTTTGTGTGTGTTGGGAGGAATGGGGGAGCTGGTGCAATGGCGTAACCCAATCGGCTTGAGTGACAATACACAAGGAAGGGGGTAGGGGGCTCTGACAACGCAGCCTATTCACAGCAAAGGAGAAAAGGACACGCACTAAACTTAACCGACATTCACATGCATATAACAAAACACATACTGAAACAAAGTGGCTTCCTCTCTAACCCCTCTTTCACTTCCCCTTCTGTTACTATATATCTCATCATAACAGTTTATTAGAGATGAAGAAGAGGGCGTGCTCACACTTTCTTTTTAAAGACATGATAAAATCTTTTGATGCTGAGGTCCATGTAACCTACATAAATACACAGTGCAACACCCCCTGGGTAGAATGCTGCTTCACACAACAAGTCCAACATCACAACATCCATTCAGCACTCAGTCAAAAAGTCAACACTCCAAGAGGGCAAAATGCCTTCCACTCACCCACTTCCATCACTGAAGTAGCCAATCCCATTCGCCTAATTTTTTGGAAAGCTTTTAGGGTTTTAAATCACCCTGCCACGCTTGCACAGATTTACTCCAAAATGAGTCTTTTCTAATCTCATTCAAACAGCTAAATACTCTGCATGGTGTAACACAGAAATTATTTCTAACTGACTGTTAAAAGAGCTGATAAACAAACGATTCCTTTTCAGGCTGGTGAAGACGCTCCCAGACTATCCATCCAGATGTGGCGAGAGATTTGAGGACGCTTCAGTCTGCTCCAGTGTTTGTGTATGATTAACCTCCCCCCACTCCTTCTGACTACGCTGGTCCACACTAAACCAGCCTGGCACAGACTGATTTTGTGTGGCTGAGCTGTTTCACTATTGGCGTAGCCTCTAATCCTGTTACTCCGACTATCCAGCACCAGTTAACGGGATCCCCCCTCAGTCCAGTGGTTTCTATACATGCACATATTGTAGGCATACATACAGGCTCTGAAAAAAGCCTTTGTGTGCACTTGGATGTACACTGTTACGCACACAAACACACAGTCTGCCTGGTCATTACCCTTTTAACACAGAACAAATAAACACAGCTAGAGGGCATCAAGATCAAGCTACTGTTTCACTACTGAGATAAAATTATCTGCAAAGCATGATTCAACTTGGCATTACATTTCATCTGTGGGCTATCAAATAACATACTGTTTTTAGATACCTCCAGCTTTTTTTCGATTTTCAGAAAATAGATATACAAAGAAATGCTTTGTAACTTTCCACATGGCCGTTGCCATGTGAGACAAAATACACAAAATTGCTCTGCATATTCAGACATCTGTATCTGTATATCTTTACAAGTCACTTTATACTTTATGTTTAGTATAAACTCTCCTATAAAACTGTTTTTATGACCTTTAACCGGAGTCACGTTTTAAAGCCTTGAGTTTGGCATTCTGGCCGTCACCATCTTGGACTTTTGGAGCCAGAAGTGACCGTGTTTGGATGAGAGGGTGAAGCTGTGAAGGAGCGACGGGTGGATCTGACTCAGGCTGTGGTGACACCTCGCAGACAGCCTGTCGCTCAAAGCAGCCATGCCCTTCACTTTAAGCCTTAATAAAATTTAAATCTTTGAGTTACCTCCTGTACAGTTGTCATGAATGTGGAAATTAGCTATAGAGACCAAAACTGTTTTTGGTAACAGGCTGTAAACATGTTTATTTTGCTGTGAAGTTGGGCATTTTAACATGAAGGTCTATGGAGATGGACTTGCTTTTGGTGTCAGCCTCAAGTGGCCATTAAAGGGACTGCAGTTATTGGCACTTCTGTGTTGGCTTTGTTTTTTAGCCCTGGAGATGACCACTTGCTCCAGTGCAACACTATTTAAGAACCTATCCAAAAATGTGGCAAATACAGAGGCATCCTTTGACATCAACCAGCTTTCTTCCACTCACAGCACTGATGATACTGTCTTTTGGCATGTCCAGGTCAGATATAGTGGTGAGGAGATGGTGTGATCGATGGTAGTAAGAAGTTCAGAACAGGAATAACTCCTACCTGAAATGGAGCTGTCATGTTTTTTGCTGGATGACTTGGTTTCTTGTTTGAAGGAATTCTCATCATCTGCATCCCCATCCCCCCACCAAGACGGCTGGCCGTACAGAGGGGTCCCACGAGGCAGCGCTGTAACATCCCCTGAGACAGATGCACAGACACAGACACATCTTAAAACAAATTTAATACAGCTTTAACTGCGGCCTGTCACATTTAACATGTTTATTATGTACTTTACATACTCCGGTACGGTCGACATGAGCTGTTTATTATATCAGGATGACACAAACTGAACCCAGCTGCTCTTTGTGAATGTGTGTGTTGGTGCATTAATTCCCCCTCTGGTCGGGTCTTGCACCACTGACCTATTTTCAGAACTTTAGCCAGCAGGATGGACACACACACGTGCACACTCTTTGTTGCGCTCTCTCACTCTCTCAGACACACGCAGCTCAAATAAAAAAGGGACTTTCCGTTTGTCTCTCTGTGCCCATTAGAATGAAAGCTGACATGGCATGAGCATCCTGCGGTAACCGGACAGCACAGTAGAAAAGTGACAGGAAAGACATGCAACAAAGATCTCCAGCCGGATTTGAATCAGCGATGTTGCAGCTCACATCAAAGTCGCAGAGGAAGTCTCCTCGTGTTAACTTCTTCCTACTCTATCCTCTACCTTCTTTTCCCTTTAAGTACCCCTTATCCTGAGCTATATGGAGGTTTAATCACAGTATATTCAGATAATTATAGCTGCTGTGTGCCAAACTGCGTGCAGTAAGAAGGGGCTTTCTATATAAAAGCTACTGAATGTACTCTCACTATGAGGTATAATATCTGGGTGAGGCCTGGTGTTACAGTAGTAACACTGCAGGATTACATCCACAGAACCACAGAGAGGGTGTCATTAAAAACATGAGCAGCAGATGGAGAGACATGCGACACCGTATGTGCGTGTATGCTAGTTTTTAGGTTCAAATGTGCTTATGTAGGTGCGTGCCTGTGAATGTAACTTCATTTTAAGAGGAGTAGTGCTGGCATATGGGTTTGCATTATGCAGGCACTCTGACCCTGTTACTGCTTAATCTGTGCAATAACACAAGCCCCATGTGGCCTTGTTTCAACATCTGGGGCTTAACCAGGACCCCTGCTGGCACCCTAGCCAGGTCAGTGATGTCAATTATTAGAGACACCCTCAGACCTAAACCGCATTTATGTTGAGACAACGTGACTGCATGCTGGGGTGGTGGTTGAAGTCCTTTCCCTGGTGACCATGTCTACCCCCTACTGGCCTGAGATAAAACCCCACCACTGGTAATTTCACCACACTCCTTAGGAGAAATTGACCTTAAAATATCATTTCTAAATTTGTGTTTTTTGCTTCACCTACATTTTATGAATGCAGAATAAACAGGCCTGTTCTGTTGGGGTTTTAGGAAGTCACAAAACATCCAAATTCTGTTAACTGGTGTCGAAACTTTGGCATTTCATTAAGTGTGAGCATATTTTCCTAGTTATATATACTGTAATGGAGCCATTATAAAGTGTTTATGACTGTACTGTTTGTACATTTTTAAGTAAAACATGAAATTTGTGGTCCTGTAACAGCAGTCAATGCAGCTAAATTTCAAGGACAGGGTGTCAGAAGTGGACCAACACAGCAAATAACCTTAAATTAAGTTAAATATTTGGTACTAGCAGTGTGTAACAGACACCAAAACAAGCTTATGAGTAAGCCTCGCATTTCTATACTGCCACAATATCCTCTACGATCTGTCTCTCACCTCCCATTCTCTCCTCTGCTTTGTGTGCATCCACAGGTTTAGCTGAAGGCTCTTTGGAGGAAGAGATCCCGTCTGTTGCTCTGCCCTCCCCTGACCTTGACGTGCTGCCGCCGGGGGACTTGAGCAACTTAGTTGGGGTCTTAGCGGGAGACTTGCTTGTGGTTGTGGTAGTAGTGGTTTCTCCGCTGGATGGCTTCTTGCTGAGCTGGAGTCCGCTGGTGAACTTTTCATGCTGAAGGGGGGTGAGGAATAGAAAAAGCAGAGATTTAAAAAGTGTAATACTGTGTATTAAAGTGATGCTTGGCAGCATGTGTTGTGTGTGTGTTCTTACCTTTAGAGCCTCCTCAGGCACAGTGAGCTCTCCTCTCACCACCGTGAACAGGTTGGTATGTGAGACAGACAGGTTAAGGAAATACTGGCGACAACAGCATAATTATGATACATGTTCATGCACACATACACTTCATACAAACAGAAACAGTTTACTGCTGCGAGCTGTAAATTGTACTTTATGTTGTACGTGAAAAAAGCCGTCTTGGTATGAATTCAAATAATAATATCTGGGTTTGCACAACGCTTGGCTGCTCAACATGTTTTTGGAGTGATTACTGGTGGATGTGTGAGAGCTGAGGAGGTTACAAAATCAGAGGAACAAAAGGATATCATATCCAAACCTCAGCTTGTCCTCCAACTTCAGAGTGATGTACATCTGCTCCTGGATGCGGACATCATTCACAAAGGTCTGCAGGGGGAGGGAGAAGCAGGACAAAAAGCAAGATGGTTATTGAAATCAAACGTAACAATAAAGAAAAGATAACATCACAGAAAGACATCTACTGGTCTACATGGCAGTGTCTGTGCTTCCAATTAACTACTACAGTATGTTCATCACTGATTAATCTGCCAGTTATTTTATTGGTTAATTGTTTTGTCTGTAAGATAAAGTAGTTGCTGATTAATTTTCTGGCAATCAACTTGGTGATTCATCAACTAATACTTTGAGTTCATGTGGAAATACCAACTTGCTGAGATGTTACTCAGATATTTTCTTTCTGGTTTCAGGGTTTTTTAAGCTTTAACAGCTCAGAGGAACTCTTGTTGCCAGACACACGTGACCACATGTGAGTTTAAAATCTTTGTGAGGTCCCAGAATGCATGAAGCCACAGTGAAGAGTCAGCTGATGCTGGTATCTCTTGATAAGAAATCAGGACTAAAAGCCCAAGCATGACAATACACGTCTTTCCCTTCAACAGTTTTCTTTCCCATCTCTTTCTTTCTCCCACTCCCATCTCCCCCCATCCACCCCACCTTCTACTATGCAGCTCTGATAGATCAGGTTTCACTCAACTGCAAATGAAATTCTATCATACTTGCACTGCTGTTGTAATAAAACATTCCTGCCTGCTCTCTAGTGAGCTGAGTTCATGACAGCTTAACAAACCAGCGATGAAACACACCCAGTACGGCTGTAAACGGTGAGACTGCCCAAACACTGCTTCTCGCTCACCACTGTGGCAAATCTGTATATATCCACTGACTCAGCAGGAGAAAACTTCCTCTGAATCCAGTTTAGGAGGTTGGATGGTTAATGACACAGCAGGAAGTGACTCTGACTCTGGTTTCCTGTCTGAGTGCTGGAGAGGATGTGAGGGCCGTTCTGCATATGTGTCCAATCTGGTGGGGCTGTGACTGAGTGCTAATCACTGGACATGACTAACGGCATGTGGCAACTGTAAAGGGTTTACTGAGCTACAATGTGGAAGCGAGAAGTGAAGTGTATCTAAAAACACAGTTAGAATCTGTGTTTGTGAGTACTATATTTCCTGAAAGACTTTTAACAACCAACAGAGACCATACAGTGTGAATCTCCCCACACTTATTTGTTCGAGTGACAGTTCATCCAAGAGGTAGTATATGTATTTTTGGATTTTCAGATGATCTGTCACTTAAATTTCTAGAAACAACAATATCCACATCACATTATTTAACAACTCTATTAACAATACCACATTTTTGCTTTCCATTGTACACTTCCCCCAAAAAATTAGAAAATAGGGAAGTGATAGCAGTTTAAAGGTTGTGTTTGTTTCTGGATCACGGATTGTGCCCTGAAGTCGTAATCTGCATAATTAGGATTAGATTCCTATTGATCTCAGCCCTGACACAAATCTTCATTAACAGAGAGATTGATTATTAACTGCTAAGTAGGAGGTCCTATTGACTGCCAAAAAACAAGTTAACCTCTAACCCCTCAGACCTCCCTCTGCTTTTACCTTGGATGTCTTTTCTTGATTTCTCTCTATCTTTGAAGTCGCTATCCATCTCCCTCTAAACCCCTTCACTCCTCATTGTGCTTGTTAAACATTCTCTTATCTCTCCCCGTCCCTCATCCATCACCTGACCCTCTCCTCTCCTCCATTACTTTCTGCCCTGTCTTTGTCCTCTGTCGTCCTTTTATCTTCGTCCTTACCTCTCTCTGTTTTGCATATTCATATCTGCGTACTCACTCCATTCAGGCTGCCCAGGTCCTTGACCTTGTGTTCGTCAGTCCCCGCCTCGTAGTTGATGACTGCATGCTGCTTATCCACGCTGCGGGACTGCAAACAAAGACAAACACACAGCATTAACCAAGTGGTCACAGTTGTGGACTTTATTGTGACCCTGTTATTGGGATCAGATGTAATTTGTCCATTATTTTTACACTTAATCTTCGCTGCTCTTTTTCAAAATGTCCTCACATTGCCTATGGGCACCTGTGCTGCATCCAGACTAGAGAGTAAGTCTGACTGCGAACTGCAGAGTAGACACAGTTTCTTAGACAGACCATTAGAGGGCTGTGTGAGACTGAAGCAGACCATGCTACGTTACATGTCTGTAGAGGCATGAGCATCCAATGTCAAGAATGTATCTCTGATAGTGGAGCTCAATGCCAGCATGTACGATATCTACCACAATATCAACTTGAAGCATATCAGCAGGTATTTCAATGTCTCTGACACTGCACACAACATACCGACACCTTCACAGCTGTACACACACACACACACACACACACACACACACAAGTAGAACAGTGAAGCAGTGCAGGACTGTCTGGAGGTGAAACTATTGATTTTCTGCAGTGTTCAGATATGAGCCTATCAGCTGTTTTGAAGGTAAGTAATTTCCCGCACTGCAACCTTCTGTATGGTGAAAAGAAGATGATGTTATCCTCAAATAGAAATATACTGTGGAATTTGGCAAACATCTCTCTCATGTATCAATGTCAGAGAATTTCAAAGCATATCAAGAAGTATGCACTGACATTGACTAATGAGTAAATTTGCTGCAGTCTCAAAATGTCTGTTGGAACGTCCTTCAGATAAGGTGCATCAATGAAATGCAAGGAACAAAGTGACATCTTGTCCTGGAACGGTTTGCTTTTATTTTGGCATTAGTAGCTCCTGTTTAATTCTAATTTGGGTGATTCAAATGTCTGCTGTATGTCCTGTGTTTTTGGACTCTGTGGACTCTTAAAAACAAGCTTAAAACCCATCTGTTCAGACAGACAGGCATTTAGGTAGCTTGTGGTGTCTTATGTTTAAACTTGTGTCTTATGTCTGTTCCCATTTGTATATTTTACGTGGTGTCTTTGTTTTATTTAGTTGATGTTATTTGATTTCATTTCTTTGGCTGCAAAACACTTCATGACTGGTGTCTGTGAAATGTGCTATCTGTATTTGCATCTGCTTGCCTGATGTTTCATTTTTGGAGTGACAGGACTTCGAATATCTGATAAAAATGTACGTATGTATTAACACAAGTCTGCCAAACATATTTATTAACTGTGCTGACTCATGAATCACAAACTTTTAACAATATGTAAGTGAAAGTATTAAAGACCAGAGCCAGAATATACGTCACTTGCACATTGAGTGTCAGACAAGAATGAGATTATTGTGCTGAAGTCAGTCATATTAATTCTGGGAGCTGGCTCTCATAGAAATTCTGACATGACTCTTTCCTATAACCCAATTGCCGACAACTCGAGAGCACCCTCGTGCTGACATAAAAATCTCAAGAAAGAGGCTGAAGAGTTGCTGAACTAACGCCAGGGGAAGCAACTCCAGAGAGCCGACCGTCAAACAGATTACCTTAGATATATTAGAGTAGATCAAAAAGGATAGAAACCAACTGAGCTGCCTGTTGTACCTCGCACCGCAGGATAGAGCGGCCTCATGCTGTTACACACAGATATACTGCTGACTAACTGAGTATGTGCAGAGGCAACTCGGAATACAGATGTGGAGTGGATAAACTTAACTAAAAAAAGTAGGTCTCCGCAAAGTAAATACAGAAGTAAAAAGAAGCGTTCAAAATGAGATTAATCTTGTGCATATGGGGCGGAGTGAAAGAGACAAAATGATAACAAGTGGAAGAGACGAAGACACGAGGCAAATCTGATTCATCAAGGAAAGAAGAAACACACTGCAGATAAGATGAGCGATGACACAGAGGATATAATTCTGAGAGACAAAGAGAGCTCTAATAGCCTTGCTGACTATTATATGATTCAGGCTGGACACTGTGTTCCTGTATTTATTACACTTTTTCCCCTTTTCAGTACATAAATAAAGTATAAATCTAATCTGATCATGAGGCCAGAGCTTGTAGTAACAGTGTGATAATTCTCTGTCATACAGTCATTTGTAGTTTGCTATTCTGTCTGTGTGTGTTTTATTTAGAGCATGACGCAAGCAGCCCTTAACGTTCAGCCATGTGACGAGGCCTTGGCTTGATGCAGCAGTCACATGGAGCACAACTGTAAGCAGCTACACAAAGTGGAACACAAACCCATGCATAAACAAAGCCCCCAAAAATGTCCTCAATTTGGAAAATCTCCCTTATCGTTCTATCACTCCAAAGGCATCACAAGGATAGAAATACAAGAACACACACACACACACACACACACACACAGACACACACATGCAGGAGCAGCAGACCCTCGGGTCATTGGAGACATGTTAGAGAAAGTGTTGGGGAAAAAACAGATCTTGTACAACTCTGCATGCTTCAGTAAATTGACCTTATTACTTCTCTCTTGAAGTTTCCTCATCAAAGAGGAGGACTGTGAGAGAATCTAGACCAGCAGGAAAACTAATAAAAACTCAGCAAACTGGGAGGTCAGCTTTAGACACAGTGCTGCTGTCTGTGACTGTGAAACTGTGTCTTCAATTAAGTAGTATTTTTCATTGAGATTGGAAGTTAATTCTTGACCTTGGAAACATAACAAGATTAACTCATTATAGAAGGAGGAAAAGTCCAAAAACCTCAGATAAGTGTCTCTGACAACTAGATATTGTATGATATGATGGAAAGCTCCAGAACAGGGCCGCAACTTATGATTATTTTCATTGTCGACTAATCTGTCGATTATTTTTGATTAGTCGACTAATCATTTTATCGAAAAATGTGTTAAAATGCTGAAAAATGTCGGTCTGTCTCTCCCAAACCCCAAAATTATGTCATCTAATGTCTTGTTTCATACTCACGCCAAACAGTTTTAGTTCACCGTCATGAGAGAGTGTGTAAAGAAGCTGCAATAAGAGTATTTTGGATACTTTTATAGTACTTTTCTATGAAAAATGACTCAAACCGATTAGTCGACTACTAAAATAGTCACCGATCATTTTAATAGTCAATTAGTCATCGATTAGTCGATTAATCGTTGCAGCCCTACTCCAGAACATGTATTTTTCAAGTTTCAGTATGCAAGTACATTACTAACAGCATGTCTCAAATCACATACTCCCGTTAGTACACTTCCATGTAATATACTATGTGCTCTTTGCACTTACTGGCGTAGTGCGCGAATTTCAACAGGGTAGTGTTGTCTCAAACCAAACACGGCCTTTGTGCACCCATCAGAAATGACAACTGCACGTGTTTTCATGGGTTTTACGCCGCAATCTGCGCCAAAGACGTGTCCTCCTCCTACTGGCTGAAAATGTACCGCTATGTATGATTTGTTTATGTGATCTACATAAACACATGTATAACTTAAATTTATACAATACAGCAACGTTCACGGTCGCACAGTCCTCGGCCGCCATTTCCAGTTTGAAAAGTGGTCCCTCCCCTACCGCTACATAGCCAAGATGGCGACCATTGAGGGCGAGAAGTGTCCATAGTTCCAGGTCCTTGACCGTTTCGAGTGCACCACACAGGTACTCATAGTGCACTGCATTTTTCCATATGTCTCAGCGTGAAAGCGCTTATGCACTCAAAATATTAAGTGTAAGTACAGAAGTACGCGATCTGAGACACAGCATAACTTCTAAGTCATATTTGTGGTATCCTTGTGAGAACAACATCATTAAGGCAATACTTTGTCTACTTTCTGTGTGCAAAAGGAAGACATTTGTCTTTGGTGTGCATGTGCAAAATCTGCTTCTAAAATCACATCATATCACATCCAGACAGGACACATTAAAACACACTGACATAAAAACACAATGCACAATAGAAGCAACATTACAAGGAGCACTGGGCAATCAATGGTGAGGACTGAATTAAGGTTATATATATATAGATATAAAATGCTATGTGCTCAGATAGCAAGCTGGCTGTACTTCCTGATTAAGATATTTTATGGCAACATGGGCAAACAGTTTTCTGTAGGTGTTTTTTTGCACCAAGCTTACCTGTAATAAACTTAGTGGTAACATAAAAACATCAACTTAATAAATAAATAAATAAAACCCTTATACCTTAAAAGTTTTTTTCCTGTGTCTATTGATAAAATTCAGCAGCAAATACAGACTCTATAACTACTAAATACTATAGGAAATTGATTGTTTTCTATATATATTTGGCCTGATAAACATGCAGTCTACTTAAGCTTAAAATCAACATTTTTAAAAACTAGGTCAACTATTTTAAGGCTGAAAAACTCTCTTTCCCACACAAACAGCTTAACGTTACCTTGCAGGGTGAAGCCAACTTCTCAAGTGAAAGTGAAAGTTTTGAATAAAAAAGGTCACAATAGAGTGCACTGGGATTAAAAATAAATGGGACTTTAATCAGTCATGAACTTCTGTTCATTCACAAATGAAATATGCTTTTATAATTCTGTTTTATGCTTCTTCAGTGCAGAAAACCCATAAATGGATTATGTTTCTTTAAATCCGTGAAGTTTGGATTTGATACTGTAAGGATAAATACCACCAAACAGATCTAAGTGATATCTTGAGGGTGTGGAGTGTGATCTGCTTTAGATAATAATAACTGTACTGAAAGTTTTAATACTTTTACAAAGTGAAGAAGCCTAGAAATAAATCTAATTTGATGTGACGATGTTGAAATCAGCCACAGGTTTCTACCAACACAATAAAAATGAATAAATATCAGAGAGTCGTGAATGTCTTGACCGTCACACTCTGCGACAGACACTGGTACCAATACGCTTCTCTAAACATGTCATGTCATAACAATGACTGCTGCCATGGATGCACCCTGTACCCACTACAACTGACTCAGTCAGATAAGATCTAACTCAGGAGGTATCTGCCCCACTTTCTATTAATAGTGCAGTGACCAGAGGTACACAGAGCATACGCATGGCCTCCTTGGATGTATGCGCAGCTGCACGGACACGACCTTAATACACACACAGACATGCACATCAACATTATCACATATAAACATGCTCTGCTTCTGCATGAGTAACAACATGAGGGCTCATTTATAGTGTACTCAGTCTCAGACTGTGTAAACAGTTTGCTTATGAAACACACTGTTGTGAGATCAGCAGGTTATTTATAAGACTGAGAGAAACTCTACCTGCGTGTCAGGCTCTGTTGGTTCACTGGTTTGCTCATGATCCTAAAAATTAGTAACTTGCAAAGACTCAGACTGCTGGGTTTTTTTTTGTTTTTGTTTTTTTTTACTAAAGACAGTAATATCTACAAAGAGAGAGTGAAAATGCAACAAACACATCTTGCCTTCTCTGGTTTATTGAAGCAGCTGTCAGTGGACACAAGGCCCAGACACAACAAACCATCAACAAAGAACTAGTTGGGACGAAGGTTGACTGTTGCGCCGCCACACGTTGCCTGTGTCTCGGCCAAAAAGTTGCACGTGAACACACCACAAAGACTACAGCCAATGGCCAACTAGCACGGATGTTCTGTGCCTGCGTGAAAGTGAAACTCTCCACAGCAGCAGGTGGCGGTACTCTGTATTAGTCATTGAAAAAAGGGAAACCAGAAGACCAGCAGGACAGATTCAAGATGCCAGTTAGCCAGTTAGCACATTAACAACACAACCTGATGTTGAGAGAACATTGGGTATTGAATGTAAAAACATAATGTTATGAGTCTGTTTTGATCTCACGCCCTCTTGACAGCCGTTCCTTTGCTTTCCTCACTTCAGTTTCTCTACTACTGCAATGAAGTAAACTGCCAATCAGTGATGTCACTCACCAACAGGCTCCGCCATCTCTGACACTGTTTCAACATATTGGAAACAAGCCCACAAGGGCTGACTTGACTGATGGTGCCAGACACAACGCAAAAACTAAAGCCACATATGCCCACTGACGGCCTGACATTGACCAACAGCCAACTGTCGGGGCCCTAAAAGTGTTCTCACCTGTAGCATGAGCTCACAGTCATCCCGGCCGACGAAGATCATCTCCCGGGGGAGGCGGTGGCGAGTTCCCCCGCTGCTCACCAGGAACCAGGAGGTCACACTCATCTCTGCAACCTGCTGCTGCCTCTGGTACACACCTGCTGGGGACAAAAGCAAACAAGCGGCAGGTCAGATTATCTGTTGTAATCTGTATCAGTTCTGAAAATAATCCACCAGATTTTCCTCAGCATATCATCCAAACAAACTCATGTCTACAGAAATTCTGAAACGGTTTTAGGATATTCTGAAAATATTATATAACAGAAACAGTTGTTTTGTTTAGCTAATTAAGACCAATTTTCACCAACAGTGCTCTTTGAAAAACAGACTAGGCAAGGCAGGATTAAAATACAAAGGCAGTTCTCTCTTCTGAAACACATGAAAGAAAATAATTTATTTGGTTGCTGCATATTGAGGGATTAAATGAGAATGACACATTCACATTTATCTTAGAAGAGAGAAAATTTGAATATTTGCAAACATGGCTTTAAGGTTTGAGACAATTCTTTTGCCTTAACTTGGTGGCAAGACAATACAAATGTAATAAAGTAGTTTTAGATATTGTAAAATAAAGTACTGAGTTCTGTCACACACCTCTGGTCCAGGTAGCTCACTGCTGATTGACTGCTGACAACACAAAGCAGCTAGGCCATCCTGAGGAAGGAGAAGAAAAGCTTTTATTCTTCTTTTTTCATTTATGCTCACAGAAGCAGACCAACACATGAAATGCATTTCTTTGCAACATGATACAGACAGCCGAGATGTATGAAAAACATATGTAGCAATAAAGGCAGACAGTAGAATCACAGACAGTGTGTAAACATTTGCAGAGATTCGCTGAATGAAAACACTTCATCTTGCTTCATTTTGTTTTGCTGGTCGGGGGAATGAGGTTGAGTGGGCGGTCCTGCAATGTGATGCCTTTCTGTCTGCGCCTGGAAATGAACACTCGGCCAGCCAGTGAGAAGCATCCTCTCTTTCTCTCTCTCTCTGCTGGCCCTGATCATTGCCAGATGTTAGAAGAGGAAGTGATGTAGGAATGTTGGCTGGCCTCCCCAGCAGGACATTTATTTTCCCTCCTGCCTATCTCCTCCCCTTGCTCTCTCTTTTCAGAAGAGCTAGAAAGGAGGTCAGAGCCAGCCACGCCGACTTTCCAACTGCCCGGGCCGAGGAGAACAACACTGAGCAGCAACTAACTGACAGGCGTGTTGTCTGTGCGGCTGCTCTTTAAGTAGGTCTGCATAACATGAGGAAGAGGTGTGATAACATTGTTGAATATCTCAATAATGATATTACTTGTGATAAATAAACAAAAAATTGAAGTGTACTCAGTTCTGCCTTTTTGCTGTTATTAGTATACTGATAAAATACAACAAATAGCTTGTTTAATTAGCACAAAAGACAGCAATAAAAAGAATGACACTCTCTTTCATCTAGCTAAAAAACTCCTGAGTGCAATATTGCAGTCTTTTGTGATGTGCTTATTACGCTACATGTCACTGCAATGATGACAAATATATATAGTGTCACCCTATTTCTAACTGACTGCCTGCAGGATTGATGCTGTCTGAAAGAGCCACTAGTTGTAAAATTTAGCAGCCAAAAGCACCTTCTCATAATTGAATTTTCACACTGTCACATGAAGTGAACAAAACCTCACTGCCTCTCAGAGTGAAGTGGAAAATCTGTTGTCTCTGTCATGAGACACATTTTAAAGAACTGCTGAATTTGGTGACAATTTTAATACTTTTCACAATTATTTATTTCAAAATCAAACACAGGTTTCAAAGAGAAGCTTTTCATGGAAATTTAAAGTGCTACTAAAATAACAGGCGCTCTGTCGTGTGGAGAAAGTGCCAAGAAAAGCCCATCAGAGAGGGAATTAAAGATTATTGAGCTAAGCTCTTGCTCACTTGACCTCATAAGTACTCGGTATACCAACGCAATAATCCCCTGGGTAAAATTTTAATCAACCGCACACCTCTGACGGGCCCTCGCACGATACTGTTGGGAACACGACTGTACCAAAGCAACAGCTGTCTCTGATGTAAAGGGGATCGGTTGTCATCGCAGTGACGGCTCAGAATATCCAACGATTTTATATGATGTGTGAAACGTTTAATGAGGAAATTGTAGACAGTTGTACAGCACTTTGATATAAGTATCTGCTGCAACATGCTGTCAGAGGTAAGTGTTTCTCACATATTATATTAGGTCTGTCTTCATGGTGTTGAAGAGCAGTGGGAAATACTGGATGTGGAGAGAAGGGAGACTGTAACAAAACTTACGGACAAGACTGTGTCCTAAACTGACCAGACATGTGTTAAACATGTGCATCCTCATAAGAAATGATTCATGGAATAAGTACAAAATCCCCCTTAATAATAACTGTAACATAAAACTTGCATTAACCTTAACTGAATTAAACTTTCCTTGACTAAATCCAAAATAAATCTCTTAACCAAACCAAAATACCTCCTATAATAATATAACTAAATGTGAGTAAATAAGGAATATAGAAAAATCCAATCACACCATCACTGACCAGACTCTAACCCAGTATCTCATGCTTACATCATGTGCATCCTCTTCATGGTTAACAAGTTACACCATGACCATATATATGCAAACATTATGGATATGGAACCCATATTATGTTTAGATGCTAAACTGGACCGACACACTATCAGAGGAAGCCAACAAAAGACAACAACAGCATTGCCATTACACTGTAATTATGTGTGGTTTCCCCTCCCCGCTGTAACCGAAGCATCTGAAGGCTTGCCATCTCAATAACCACCGCACACTCACTGCAGAGTGCAACGTTAACGAGAATGCGGTGTAGGAGCCTGAATGCGACGCATACCAGCCTGTGTGGTGCCATTAAAAAACCTTCTTGCTATCACACATGAAAGACAGGGCACAGCTGGAGGAATGCAGCGGTAGGTCTGACGCAGGAGGCGCAGCTGAGGAGCATTTAGTGTCTGCTCTACATGTGTTCCTCACAGGCCTGATGGTAAATGTAGGTACAGTAAAGTGACTTAACAGACTGTTATAGCTGATCTATTATTTGCCTTTCCACACTTGGTCATTATATCCACATGACTGATGATTTCCAAAAATCTCTTTGTGTAATATTTTGAGAAAGCACCAATAGTCAACCCCACAATATTATTGCAATATTGAAATTGAGATATTTGGTGAAAAATAAAGTGAAAGCAGATTTTCTCCTTATTGTCAAGTCCTAGTTAAATGGCCAGTTTACCCAAAATACAGAAAACATATGTTCTCATTTAACTCTAGCAGTGTGTAGCCATGCAGATAGTTTTGGCCAGATTTTGAGATATATATCTATCAACAATAATAATAATAACATCAATTTATTTGTAAAGCGCTTTCAATCAAAGTGCTGTACATCATTAAAAACAGGAAGGCTACTAAAAACAGTATACAATAAATAAAACACAATAAAACAATGACAGACAACAATAAACAGACAAATCAAGACTTATAAACAACAGTGAACAAATGGGTCTTTAGCTTTGCTTTGAAAACATCAACTGAACATGCCTGACTAATACCAACAGGTAGACTGTTCCACAACCTTGGTGCACGAAATGAAAAAGCACGCTCACCAACTGTCTTTCTGCGGACCTTGGGGACACTCAGAAGATGAGTCCCCTGGGAGCGCAGGTCACGTGCAGGCGTGTACGGTTTAATCAGGTCTGACAAGTACTGTCGTGAGATGCCATTCCCAATTTTATAAGTAAGCAAAAGCACTTTAAAGTCTGCTCTATCCTCTGCTGGAAGCCAGTGGAGCAAGGCCAACATGGGAGTAATATGCTCATATTTACCCGCTGCAGTCAGAACACAAAATCAAACGAGAGGGTCTGATCAAAGGGCACACCAAGATTCTTAACTCTGTCACTGCAATCAATCACAAGATTCATCATCATCCAGAGACCAATAATCCTTATTTCTGTCTTGGCCGAGTTAAGTAACAGGACATTTCTAGATAACCATCCCCTAACTGCAGCTACACAGCTCCCTAAGTTTAGTCATATCTGAACCATTTTGCAGAATAATAGGCGTATACAACTGTAAGTCATCTGCATAACAATGAAAAGAGATCCCAAATTAACATAAAATCTGACCCAAGGGTGCAAAGTATAGAGAGAAAAACAGTGGACCAAGTACAGATCCATGGATTTCTGCTTCCACTTCAACACAGTGGAAGTGAATGGAATTAAATAGGTGGGGCTCACAGCAGTGAAAAAGTATAACTGAAAATTCAACAACGAAAAAACTGTGTTCCCGTTATTCTCAATAATCAAAAATAAACAAACATGAACTCAAACAATAAGTCGATTAATCGTTTGACAACTATTTTGATAATAATATGAGAAAATATGGCAAGTATTCTCTGCTTCCAGCTCCTAAAATGTGAGTATTTGCTGCTTTTTCATGTCGCATTTAATAATAAATACAATATCTTTTATTGAGTTTTATACTGCTGATTAGAAACAACAAGCAATTTATGCTCAAGACTGGGAAATTCCAATGAGCATTTTTTAATGTGTTGTTTGATATTTGTAGAATATGATTTGGCTGACCTAATTATTCCAACAATTCAGCTCTGTCTCACAGTGATTCCTGTGTGATGATTACCGTGGGGCATTAAACGCTGTTATCATCTGAGAAGCAAAAGAAGGAAGAGATGTAAAATATCTGTGCGTAAATATTGGTAATACATAATGTCATCAATGTTGAAATACTGGCAAAAACAAACTGTCAATGGTCTCATTTCCAATCCACTCTTTTAGCAACATTCACGCTGAGGCTAATAAGCAGGAAAAGTGACCTCATGGTTTTGGCAGGAATTCCCCAACCCCCAGACCTGCACTTACTATCTCCCACACACACACACACACACACACACACACACAGAATTAAGAAGTGAAAGGGCAGGATTATTCCAAGATGACTGTGAATTCTTTGTATGGGGGAGATTGCAGTGAAGAGACAGGAAGCATGCACTGCACTTCCTGTGTTGAACAGAGCTCACTCATCTTTGTGTCCACAGTAAGATGTTGACTTGCTGACTGTCTGACGTGAGTGAAAAACCATGTGTCATCTACAGTGAGGCAGCTAATTCACAGCACTTAGGCACTGAATCACATTGTCATGAGGAAAATCGTCTTATACCGCTAACAAAGGCGCTGAATCGAAGCAAATGAGTGCTGATATTATTATTATTCGTTATATAATAAAATGTTCAGACATAAAAAATAAGTGGGGATTATAAAAGATTCATTGGCTGTGACTAATCACTTTTACAGCTACGTTTCTGTTCTCTGGCACAAAGTTATATAAGGAGTCTTGTGTCTTTTCAACAATTCATATATCTACACTCCACTTCAAACTAGCCAATCACAGACACTGGCCGAAAGGGGACAGGAAGTGATGTTCCTTCGCCGCTACACATGTCTGCTGCTCTCCATAAAGCATCTGGCCCCAGTACGTATCCCAGGATGATGAAACAGCGCTACTCATCTGCCTGATCTCCCAGACTGTCACATCACCACAGCAACCCCCGATAGCTGACTCAGACCGCATCACACACACTGACAGCTGCTGTGTGTAGCCTCCACACA